TAAGTTTCCACTTCCGTGTGGCAGACATGTACACCGTCTGTCACTCTTTAAACATTCATTTTAAGAAAGAAGCACGAATTCAAGCTAGCACTGGGAATCACGATCATGACTTTCAATGCACCCATTTTTTCTTAGAATCTTTTCCTGTCAAATGCACCACGCTTGAGCCTGTACATGTCAATGTGTGGTCGGTACCTGGCTCTCTTCTCTCAGTCAATACAGAGATTAAGACTCACGGCAAAAGGCAATCGGCAGGTTTAAGTTTACTATTCTTCCAGTTAGAAAAAGGAAAGATAAAAACTGTGTAAAATACTTCTTATGGATGAACCTGACATAAAAATACTTATTTTCATTTAGGCATGATAGGCAGTAAACGAGAAGGAGGGGAGACTTATTTGTCATGTGGCAAAATGTTTTTTACAGACTCCTGAATTGACCCGAGAAGGCCTGGGAAACCGTACGGGAACTTAAGCACAAGGCAGAACGTAAACAATCGTTGAATAGATGCCGTGGCTTGTAAACTTGCAGGCGTGACTTCGGATTCTTCAACGGACATTTCTTCTCATTCTCGGTAAGAAAGATTACTGTGTTGTCAATTATACAATGTACAACAAAACAAAGAATGCTTAAAGGAGAACCTAAGGAGACTACAGCATATTTCAGTTTAATGTTACGTACTGTACTGTGCAAAAACAATGAAGGCGAACTTCACCGAAATCCTAGAATTTTGTCGAACAGCTGAAGATTACGAAGTTTCGCCGGAGACGAAATTTAGGCGAAATTTCGACGCATCAGGTGTTATATTGTCGACGAAATTTCGCGAGCTAGGTGGTAAACATTGTAAACCGAAACTAAATTTCTGCGTGATAAGATAACTTGAGAAAATGGCTAACAGGAGCGACACCATCGATTGTTTTAATAATTAACCTCGCAGGAAAACCATGGTGGCATTGCGAAATGGCGGCTGTTTTCTTAGGCTACTTAAGACGAAATATCGGTGCGAATGTCGTTTCGGTTGTACATTCGCACGTGACGATGTTTATAGACTTTTACACTTCCCGTAGTGCGAAGGGCAAACCAAAAGCTGATTGAGATTCTTGAAACATTAAAAATCGTGAGAGTGCCAGCTGCAACCAGTAATAATCCATTTCCGAGTTGTCCCAAGCCTCTTTTTCAAAGGAAGGGTGAGTGCAAAGCCATTGATAAGAAAAAGATTTTTTTTATTCTCATGGAAATGAAACGCATTTTCACAAGAAAAGTTTTGCGCTTGGCCTCATTTACAAATTGAGAGGTTTTGGAACGCGGAAATAGCCTATTCCACTGCAAACGCCAAACGTCGATTTGAACCACGTGTCCAAGTTTTCTCTTTTCTTGTGGTTTTTCAGTCGTATTTTTTTTTTCTACTCGAAGAAAAGTACTTTTAATGCCAGGCTTATCCTTAAGAATTAATTGGCTCTGTTTTTATCTGCTCATATCATTAGTTGAGAAATGTTTAACTTAAACAGGAAATCAATCTAATCGCTCATTTATTGCCGAAAAAGTTTGGTTTCAAGGCAATGTACCGTCAATAAAATGCAGCGTTAACATTTAATTAACTCAATTTTTAACACGACGTAAATAACGATTTTGTAGGCCTGGCAAACTGGGGAGGGTTGGCGCGAGTGAACCTCCGCCGGAGGAAGATTTCAGGAAGATTACCTATACTAATTGGATTCAATAGTGGAATACATTCACGACATGAGAGTCATTTCTAACTAGTCCAAGCGAACCTCTGGCGGCCACGTTTTAACCAAATCGAACAGATATACGGGCTGTTTAACCCATTAAGCCCTAGGAGTGATTAGTATCAAACTTTTCTTTGAATTATGGATGCCATGTAAAACAGAGTGGTCACGAGAAATAAGAAAATGATACACAAAATGAATATGCTTGATATATTATCAACTTCTCCCCACTACTTCTATAGAACACTAATAAGGGAACAGATGAGAGTTTTGAATTGTTATGTTAGGTTCTAAAGGGTTAAAAAGTTCGTGTCACATTTTAAACACAGAAAAATACATTGCTTTTCAGTCCATATGCGAACGCGTTGTCAGTTCAAATATAATAACATGTCCAAGACTGGTGGCCCCGTTTTAACGAAATCGAACAGATAAATAGGTTGTTTAAAAATTTCATATTGCTTTTCAGTACGCCAAACTGCCGGATATATATGTGAACGCGTTGCGCGTTATGATCAGTGTTTACATTTTTACACGATGAATATTGGTAGACAGCTAGTATGCCCTCCATTATTTCTTATGACATTTTTCAGGCGTCGGGGCACATAATGGGCGACTCTGCTCGTTGAAAATTGCACATGACCTTTTCTTCATGTCTAGGGTAGCCGAATTTTTTCAGTTCTTTCATTGTTTTCTAGACCGGATCCCCGTATGCAACCTTATTAATTGTTCTAGAGATTCTCTACGGAATAAAGGTGAAAACAATTTGCTCGTCTCTCGTTTATTCACTTAAATTGGGTTTGTTTTTCTGGCCAAACAAAATAATCATTCATGCACCACCCGTCTGGAAACTGAACTACCTGTCCGATAGCAGGGCGCGTAAATACAGTAGTATTTCCAGTTGCATGCAAGCAGCAAGAAACTAAATGGAGTCTGTCATGGAAACGTAAGGGCTGTCTTGCAGATAGGAAAGTTGGTGTGATGATGACATTTCAAAGTCTTAACTATATAATGTATTTTTCCATTCCTTAAAAACCTTGTTTGTTATTTGCTTACAGAAGTATAAATTTCAGAAAACTTATATCATTCCACGTCAGGGTTTGGAAATAGCTGAAGAACTTGGAATTAGCCATGGTAAGTCTAATCTGTAAGTTGTTCATTTATGAGTCTTTGTATGGATGCAGTTTACAAGACGCAGCCTTTTGGCGTTGTCCATGCCATTTCAACATCCTTTCATAACGAAAGCCTAAAGTAAGCCAAAGGAGTTCTTTCTGCGGTGTCATCGGTTGTGAAACGTACGTTTTTAGCCAAAGATATGCCATTTTTTAAAAAACAGAAATGTGAAATAAAAATGTTTTTGATGTGCTGACATCATCACCATGAAGACTCCGTGTGCTTTATGTGAAAATTTATCCTTAGCAAAAAATTATCAAGCTCATGTGCATTTTTCTCCGCCATGCGTTCAATTTATGTTAGATGTTAATGCCATTCTGGATAAATTTTTGTGTGGTTTCTAAAGGTGGACGTAATAATGTGGCAAAAACCCTTCATACGTCTGTTTGATATGTCTGATTCATAGCAACTAAAAGCTTACAAATTGTCCTTCAGTTGCATAATGATATATTTGCATAACTATGTCTGAGCAACATTTGTTATTTTGGTTGTTTTTGTTTGGCGTTTTTCAATTAACACGGTTTTAAAAAGAGAAATGCAAAATAAGCAATCCTATTGAGATAAAGTACTCTGAGTACGTTTTTGAGGCTGTTCAAAACACTCACAACACGTGTTTCGCGCTCGAATTTTTAACCAGGGATAAAACAATGGTTGCTGTTCGTTTGTGCGAAGTGCAGGGGCAAAAAATGCCGTTCTTTAGCCATCATTTAGACAAAGTGAACCAACACTATGCAAATCTTCTTTGGCTTCATTTACTTTGCGGAATATCACAGGGAAGACTTTGTTGTGAAGGAAAACTTATTCGTATACAAGTGTGTCAGGTGTAAGAGGTGCGAGTTTAGGATTTACTAAAAGACAAGTACTTTCAACCTTGTTTTGTCAATTGAGAGCCGTCTCATTTAAGGTCATGCGAAGTTCTGAAAATAATTTTCCCTTTGTCCTTACATCAATGACAAAATTAATAGAGTTAAATTTTATAGACACCGTTATTTAGCGTTAGATCCTGTTATCTAAACAAGAGAACAAAAGAAAATAGCTATCAGGCTTTTCAACTTTAGAAATACTCAAAAAAGGGGCTAAATAAAGACAATTGATTATTTGCGCGTCTTTTTTATGACGTTTTTCTTTGTTTCCGCTTAATTTTCCAGAACTAATAAACGTATTTTATGGCTCCCATTTTTGCATTTTCGTTTTCATTTTGAAAGGCAAGTATATAGTTCTAAGATCTGCTGCATGCTTCCCCTTAATTTGGTATTTATGATTATTATTATTCTATTTTTTTTTCACATTTCTCTTTTCATTATCAATGGACATTTTGTGATTTGCATCTGTCTAAGCCAAAGACGACCAAACTCACAAATAAACTGTTCTTAAAGGGGCACTTAAAACGTATAAATGCAATAAAGCCCATGCAGACAATAATATTATGGGCAAAATTTTCCCTGCGACCAGTTTTGCTGAAACGTGCTTCACAGACAATAAAAGTACACGTTTCAACTGACCCTTCTGACTTATTTCCTTTCAGTACATATAAGGCAATCTTAGCATATTTATTTTGCCAGGTATTTTTTTAGCAACACTCATTAAGGCGGAAGGAAAACGGAGATTGACTCTGGAAACCGTTCAATTTATGAAACTGCTTCTTGTTTCACTTTTCAAAACCCCAGTTAGAGCTCTAAACTTGGACTGTAGGTTACCTTTCACTGTATAAGTCATTTATGCAGATATGAAACATCATACATGCTTCTAAATTTTAAATCTGTAGAGATATTCTGTGTTGCAACGATTCAATCTGATTGAAACCCAGTGAAACAAACTGATTTTTTATTCTTTTCCCGCTCTATTTTGGGGCATTACTGAATAATCACCATTTCCGCCTCCTTTCAGTGCGAAAAACAGGAAGTTTGAATAAGGGAATCTTATCATATTTCCCTATAGTATTACTTCGTTTGTTGTATTGAGGAATTAAGGATGTTCGAACTATTTTTGGCTCTTTTCGTATTTGTGTACCTAATCAGGACATGATTGGGCATGCATATTTTTTTAGCATTCGCAGACAATAAATTCGGTACCCTGCACTTGCTCCCAGTTTACCTTTGAGTAGCAATGGCCAGGTTTATTGCAATCATACTGACATTAGTTAACTGTATGCTTTTTGAGACATCGGGACAGCTTAGCTGTAGTACAAAAGGTGTTGCGGGCTTAGCAGGGTGTGAATGTAATTTCTTCGGTGCTTGTGATTTTCGTGGGAGAATAAGGCCTGGCGTGGACATATTGAAGCACTCACCAAACGGTATTGAACGGTACGCACATAAAAAGGGTTCCTCTGGAAGAAACATAGCTTTTTTATGTGAAGGTAGTACGGTGGCAATACTTTATGACTGTAACAATCGAATACCACTTTATGCAGCCACGGTAGTTAGCGGAGGCCAACTATCGGCCAAATTCGGCAAACGCCCAAGAGGAACCGGTGGTACATTTCGACAAAGCGGGACAACACTGGATTTATATTTTCAACAGGTCAAAAATGACTATGATCAGGCTCTCAATCAGGAAGTGATAATTTATCAGACAAAAGGTGCATCTGGGATTGGCTTAAGTATAATATTCGGAAGCATGCTATTTTGTTCTCGAAAAAGAGAGCCAAAGACCGATCTGCTATGGAAAAAAACTTACAACAAGTATACGAGGAAGCGACTAAAAAATTCGAACAGGACCCTTCCGACTCTAACCTAAATACTCTAAATGAAGCAAAAGAAATTCTAGAAAGTTACTATGAGGAAAAAACAAGGGGTGTAATTATTCGCGCAAGGGCACGATGGCACGAGCATGGCGAGAGAAGCACAAAATATTTTCTAAATTTAGAAAAGCGTAATCACGTCAAAAAACATATAAGAAAACTGCTAATAAGTGGTTCCATTACATCTGATCCTTTTGGGATACTAAACGAACAAAAACGCTTTTACCATAGCTTGTACAAATCAAACGTAACAGATGAGGATAGGGAAAATGGAGACGAATTTTTAAATAATTTGAATATACCAAGATTATCAGAAGAACAAAAACAATCTTGTGAGGGAGAAATATTTGTTGAAGAAATTACAGCCATCCTTAACAGTTTTGAGAATAACAAATCTCCTGGTAATGATGGAATACCAATAGAATTTTACAAAAGTTGCTGGGAATTAATTAGTGATCCTTTTATGGAGTGTGTGAGAGAGTGTTTCGACCACGGTGAAATGTCAAGCTCTCAAAGAAAAGCAATCATAACTCTGATAGAAAAGCAACATAAAGATCGAACTCTCATTGAAAATTGGAGGCCAATCTCTCTTATTAACGTGGATGCAAAAATCATCTCAAAAGTGATTGCGTTAAGATTAAAGAAAGTTCTACCGAATATCATACATCATAATCAAACAGGTTATGTTGAAGATCGCTATATTGGTGAGACTATCCGATCAATTTTCGATGTAATGGAATTTACAGACAGTAAGAATATTCCAGGTATCTTGATTTTCATTGACTTTAAAAAGGCTTTCGACTCTTTAGAATGGCATTATCTTTTCAGTTGCCTTGAGGCTTTTAATTTTGGCCCCAATTTTATAAATTGGGTCAAAATGTTTTATACAAATATTCAAAGCTGTGTAATAAATAATGGAATGGCATCAGACTATTTTACTTTAGAACGTGGTGTGAGGCAGGGTGATCCTTTGTCCCCTTACCTCTTTATCTTAGCTGTTGAAAGCTTGGCAATCTCCATTCGTCAAAATGCTGATATCAAAGGAATTAAAATCGAAAATTACGAAGCCAAGCTATTGCAATACGCAGACGATACCACAGCAATCCTGTCTGATGAAAGTTCTGCAAAAACGTTATTTCAAGAACTAGAAGTATTTAAGAACTTCAGTGGGTTGGAGATAAATAGCTCTAAAACAGAAGGAATGTGGATTGGTTCGCTTAAAAGAAAAGATGAAAAACCGTTTGGTATTAAATGGCCCAGTGAACCCATAAAAGCTTTAGGAACCTTTTTACATATGACCAATCATTACTTTACGAAAAAAAACTTTCAAGAGAAAGTTGACAGCATAAAGAAGCTGACAAATATATGGTCATCTAGAGGACTGTCCATTTATGGTAAAGTAACTATAATCAAATCATTACTTATTCCAAAACTAGTTTTTATATCTTCGGTTCTTTCACCTCCAAGTAAAATCATCAAACAAGTGAATAGTATAATTTTCTCCTTTTTATGGAATGGAAAGGATAAAGTAACGAGGCTCTCTTCAATAAACAGTTATGAAGACGGTGGCATAAAAATGACAGATATTGAAAGCTTGGTCAAAGCTGTACGACTAGCTTGGCTAAAACGTGTTTTCAGCGATAATGAAAGTACGTGGAAATTTTACTTGTTTCATCTCCTACGTAGTGTTGGTGGTCTTTTACTTTTTAAATGCAATTATGCAATGAACGATCTTTCAATCATCTCGGTTTTCTACAGAGAACTCTTAGAATATTGGTTAGAATTTCGAAATCTCTTTTTAGCTAACAAAGAACGGCTCTGTATAATTTGGAATAACAAAGATATAAGAATAGATGGAAAACCAGTCTTTTATAAATCTTATTATGACTCGGGGATATGTATTATTAAAGATCTCTTGTTCAATCTCGACAATATAGAATCCTTTAATGCAATCAATAACATAATTGAGAAAGCTAATTTTCTTACATGGACAGGTCTCAGGCATGCAATTCCTTCTATTCTGAAAACAATAGAGTATACTACCTTTACAGAAAATACTTATTTTACAAAGGGGAATGAGATTTTTGACATAGCGGAAAAGAAAACGAAAGACTACTGCTCTTTAATAATATCAAATAAAGTACGATTACCTAGTAATGCAAGGAATTTAGAACATGATTTTGGCTTACCTGACGAAGACTTACAACTGCTTACAACCCTCCCCACCCGACAGCACAGGAGCCTTACGTCAAATCCTCTCAATATAAAGTTTTAAATTCAATACTTTACACTAATACAAAACTTTTTAAAATTGGATATCTCCAGCATGACAAATGTACTTTTTGCAAGACTGAACAGGAAACATTATGTCACTTTCTATTTTACTGTCGGCACTCAAATATGTTGTGGAAAAATGTTGAACAGTATTATTTAACAATAACAAAGGAATTTCACGGGTTGTGTTTACGAGAGGTTATAATTGGAATAACGATGTCAAAATGCCCCTTGTTAAATTATCTGATATTAATTGGTAAATTGTATTTATGGGATTGCAGAAAGAAACAGGTACTTCCAAACATCGAAGGTTTCAAATTTAAAGTAAGAATTAAATACCAAGTTGAAAAATATATTTCCACTAAGAATAATAAATTAGAAACCTTTTATGAAAAATGGCCAAAAGACATTTCTCCCCTTTAATTAAGTTCGTGAGTTTGTAATTAAAAATGTAATCTTTTATTAGACACTTTTTTTTTGTTTTTTTGTATTTTTTATTTTTGTATGTGTGGTTATGTTTTTGTTTTTATTTCAGAGCGTACTGTAAATATTAAGTGTTAATCTCTCTTTTATCTACATAATTAAGTATTAATTAATTCTTTGTAAAATAAGCCTCATTCGGCAATTGCGCGGCTGTTTTGTGGCTGTTATGTATATAATTGTGAAATGTAGATAATTGTAAGTATGTCTGTTACTGCGGTTGTTTAGAACTTTGTAATTATTTTCTTTTTAAGTAGTTCTTTGTAATTATAGTAATAAATGTCTTGAATAAAAAAAAAAAAAATAAAATAAAAAAAAAAAAAAAAAAAAAAAAAAAAAAAAAAAAAAGGCTCTCAATCGAAAAATTTACTATAAAATAAAGACACGAAGAAGTATAAAACAGATAAAAGACAAGGTTTGGTACGAAAAATTGAACCCGACGCTATTGTCGAACAATGTTAAAGTTGCAGTGCACAGGGGACACATGATAGCATCCCTGTACGGCATAGGCGATCTTGCGAAAAAGGTAAACACTTTCGTTTACACCAATGCCATTCCTCAGTTTGGCGTTTTCAATTCAGGTCCATGGAAAACCTGCGAAGGTAGGCTCATTCGGTGGGGTCAAGTTTTTTGTTTAAGGGAGGGAACAGCAGATGTGGTACGAAACGTTCAGATGTTTATTGTTGTTGGAGCGATTCCGTCAACATTTAACAACGGCCGCGATCCCCTCAAAACAAGATTCTTTGGCAACGGTGGATTCAGTGACTACCAGGATGATACGAGTTTTCGTGTAAACGTTCCTTCAGCGATGTGGACAGCTGCCTGCTGCACCTTTGAATACATCAAGGGCAGACGAACCTACTCCGTTACCAAGAATACGGCATTCTGGGGAAAAAACGTTCCAGGAAACGATGAATGTGATAAAGTATACGTGCATAAGCTGGAAGATAAGCTGACTCCGAAGGGAGAAACACAAATAAACCTGTTCCCGTCCTCTAAAGAATGCAGGAATATCCACAACTTTCAAGTAATATGAAGTAAAAGTTTGTTTTTACATTCATGGTCTTAAGTAAAATGGTCCATGTTTAATGTCTATAAAAACTGCCTGAGGGTAAAGTTATTCATTAGTTTTTATCTTTTTATGCATAAAAGCGAAAGGATTTCGAGTTTGACAGATCTAGTACTTGGTGTAGTAATTTTATTTTCAAGTTATGTGCGACTGCAAGTTTTGCTGAGTTTGAACTGATGTTAGTAATTTTAAAATTATTTCTTAAAAGAACGCCGTTGTTGTTAATGTTTTGTTAATGCTTATTACTTTCCAAAGTGATTTTTTTTCGTTCCCTGTTTTACGTCTGGGATTTTCTTCCTTAATCAGTTTGAATAATGTATCCCAACTGAAAAGAGCACCGGAAAAGTTGAGTTGAGCCTCGAGGCGTTAAAGAAACGAATTTGATTTATCCATTCTTAAGCATTGACACTACCATAATTTCTTAAGGACGGTGCCCACTATTGTTACTGCGCACATTTTCTGCGCATGCCTAGGTAGTCGCGTGCGACGCGAAAGAAATGCGCAACACGCAGGACACGCGGACTGGTTTTGTCTCCTGTAAGTCTGGGAGGTTCTAGTTATTTCTTGTGGAAAAGGTGCGTTGTTTTTTAACAGATGAAAAATAATTTCTATTTACCTTGTCAGTTCTTTGAAAGCCGAAGAAGTATGCGCATGTTGCTATTTCTGCCTTATGATCGGTCTGACCAAACATTTTATAGTCAAACAATAGTCAATTCTAAAACATCAAAAGTTATTACTTCGAGATGTTACGCTTGGAGCTTGGGTATTAAAAAATCCCTTAATAGGCAAGGATCAGTCCTCCGCTTAATCGAGGAACTGCAAGCTTACCTTTCACTCGCGTCCTTCGCGTTTTATCGGCCAGTTGGCTATAAACATTTTCCCGAATATTTCTTTAGTTTTGCAAGATTTTATGTAATTATTCACCAGAAGATAGACTTCAAGCGTTCGAGTACATACAGATGTCCCTTTTATTGAGAGTCCGAGGCGTTTATTTGTCGAACAAACAAGAAAAGAATTATCCGCGGTACGGTCAGGTGTTCCTGGTCAGCGGATACCCAGTTTTGACAGCTGTCAATTGATCACAACATTGATGTGCAATTAGTTTTCTCTTGGGCTCCCAAACCATGGATAATAGAAAGACTGGAAAGGAAACTGGCTGGCGTGATCGGTTCCAACAAAGTGGAAAAATGTGACGTCACATTATCGAGAGCCATTCAACCTCTTACATCCGATGTTTTGCTCGTCTTTAATTAATCTTCGCATATTACCCAGATTTCCCATGTTTTGAAGTAAAGGATGAAGAGTACTTGTTCTTGGCGAAGACAGTTAGAGGGTACAAAAGCGGTAGAGGCAAAAGACTGAGTAAACGATAATGAAACTTGTTAGAGCGAAGAATGACTCCAGCGCCCGATAATTTTTTGCACCAAAGGGGAAGCCTAACTACATCAAAATATACGAAAACTTACATGTATACAACTACAAAACACCTATAAAAAAGGCACAGCCTAATTTTCTACAAGCCACAAGAAAACCGGGAAGAATTTTAATTATTTTTGTCACGGATTTGACGATTTCTTTTCTGCTTTTATACAAACTCAGCGAGTGTCGAATTTTACAAGTTAACAACTGACTCTTGACAAAATGATTTTATTAGCGGTAAAACTGTCGAGGCTTGATGTTTCAAGTACCCAGCTCAAACGAGGGTTTAATTTTCCATTCAAATTTATTTACGGACAATCAGTGTCAAGAAGCCCTAGTTGAGAACTGTATAAAACATGATAAAAAGCGGGGATGAAAAGCTCGGCAAAGAAAGGAAATTTGCTTGCGGACCACCGTGGAAACAAATCAATTTTCATAGTAAAGCAACAAGTTCTTTTGTTATTTTCAGGCATAAATGTACCATTACCCAAGGTAATTTTCAGTCAGGTCTTTTAAAAAGCGAACTGCAACGCTTTTAAAAATGTCGTGTAAAACGGTTAATTGTTAACCACTAGAATACAGCTAGGAAGCAAACTCATGATAAATAGTAGGCCCTTCACTTCTTTTTCATGAGGAACACTTGTCTTCCTCTGATAAGGCTTATAAAGCCTAGAAATATATTTATTCTTTGAAATACTGACCTCTTTTTCGGATGAAACAACCTTTAAGTTTTTGTATTGTAGTCTTAATGATATAGAAATCACCTCTGAAAATTAAACATTAACACTGTTCCCAAAGAAAATAGAAGCTGATTATTAAAAATAATAAATAAAAAAAAGTAACATCCAGGATTTTTGTTTAGCCTGAGGTAAGTGGATAAGGGCTTGAAAAAATGTGACTGTCTGGTCACATTATCTTGTTGAAAACAAAATTCATACCCCAAACAAGTACAGGTATATGCTTTATTAATTCGATTTAGAATACATCTTGGTAAGGTTTATCATCTACAGGTACATTATTGCTTTGGATCTCTAAAAAAACCGAGCACAATAATAGTGCTAATCAAGTCCATCTTTGGTTTGAAAAACAATGTGATTCAGATTTGGACCGCTTCAGGAAAAACACTAACCAAATCTAAAACACATTACTTTGTAGCTAATACATGCAGTGACCCTCACACACAATTAATTTGTCCCAGTCAGAAAGGAGTAGCTAACACTCTTCAGATGTGATGAATAAAGCTTAAAGCACCTTCTGATCAGAAATAAATTATATGCCACCTTCTGGCTCTCAAGCATGACAAAAGTAACTTTTGTTGCTATTTTATACAGAAAGATTGATAGATTTGTGCTCTCTCAGAAGAGTACTTAACCCTGCTTGACCACAATTTACTGTCTTTATTGACTAAATGTGTTCAGCAAATCCTACAAAAAAGACAAACACAAGGAAAACTAAAACACTGTTTACAAAATAACAACAACACTTAAGACCCTAAACAGAGATCGAAAAATGTCAGTAGGTGTAGTTTATGTACAAAAAAAATATTCGAGTCTCTTCAGTGCCTTCGAATACAACTGCGAGGAGCGACGTGAGGCGATTGAATTCACTGGATATGTAATTTAGAAGTTATGTTTCAACATTAAAAGATGAGCGAAATTAACATACTGCTTTACGAACAATTAGCGGGGTTAATCTAGGATATTAGTTGAGCGAAGCAGTTCTCAACACAAACAAGTCTGCCGGTTGGAACATTGCACACCGTGTGCGTACACTTGTTCGGCGCGGGCTCCGAATGTAGTTAATTCGGTAATTTTCAATGGAAATGTACGGCTGGAAAATAACAGCACTCTGTCTGTAATTATAACTATGCCTAAGCCACAATTCCATCCTTAAAACATCTGTCAATCGTAGTTATGAATAGAAATAAGAAGGAATCTTCTAAATAAAGGCGTCCCAAAATAGTGTGACAAGTCTTGTAAAAAAGGCTCTTTAAGGTCAATTTTTGGGACGAAGTTTTCTCAAAGACAAGGACAAATAACACAAAACAACAACAAGAAGCGCTTACCTAGAAGGTTCAAGTGTGACTTTGAAGGGTCGCCATCGCCGTAAGACAACAAATGGAGGGGAAAACATACACCAAAAATTAATGTAGCACTAAAAGCTCCGAAACAGAACAACATGCAGGCAAACAAACCCTACATTTCGACTGGTTTGCGCCACATTTTAACTTTAAGCACGAACCAGCCAAACGGCGATTAGAAATCAGCCCACGTGACCAAAGTTTCCTATCCAGTCTTTCTATTATCCATGACCAAACTAGCTAGAAAGTGTGAGGGTAAACATTGGTTTCCCTGTGGTGCGGACGGACGGTCGGGCGTACGGTCACTTGATTACCAAATTTTCTCGGATGGGCAGATTACCACGTTTCCTTAGCTATGGGGCTCTGTCCACGCGCGCGCTTCGCGCCTGCGTGGAGCTCCGCTGTTATGACTGTAGATGTACTCCAGGCTTTTTACTGACTATTTAATAAAAAAAAAACAAAACAGATAAAATTGAATAATGCAGATTCTGCATGGACTCAGTTTTCAACAATATTTACTTCGAAATTTCAAAACTTACAGGTTTTTTTGGTTTCTCAGCATCCTTTTATACACAGACCAAATTTCCTTTCACGATTACTTCTTAAGTATGAAGGAAATTTGGTTAATTCAAAATGGCAAATCAACGATGTTAAATGGTTCCAGTTCCTTCTTCAATAATAAATGACGCCATTTTTTTGTCAGTTTTAAAGATTGATAATAATAATAATAATATACACTTATATTGCGCCTTCCTCTTAGTGATCCAAAGCAAAAATAGTAAACATGAATTAAAACTGAAGAGCAAGCTTAAAAAGAAATGTTTTGATTTTTGATTTGAAAGCGCTCAGCTCACAACATGTGCGTAAAGTGACTGGCATGGAATTCCATATCTTTGGAGCTCCTTGTGAAAAAGCACTGTAACCATAGGTTTTGAGGTTATGCTTAGGCTGAAGTAGGAGTCCTTTATCTGCAGAGCACAGAGTTCTCTTTGGGCTATAATCAACTAACAGTTCTTCCATATAAGGTTTAAAATTAATTCGTTCCGCAATAGGCAACCAATGAAGAGACCTTAAAATGGGTGAGACATATTCATGTTTCCTAGTACCAATCAAAAGACGTGCGGCAGAATTTTCCACAACCTGAAGTTTTTTAATATGATCCTGTCGAAGTCCAGATAAGAGAGAGTTGCAGTAGTCCAGTTTTGACGTAATAAGTTCATGTAAATTAAAATTTTGCAGTGAACAGACTGCTTTCACACGTTTGTCCATTGATATTCGAACCAGATCTTTATGTTCTTTGCGGCATGTGAAGCACATATCACGTTACGGCCAACTGTAATAGAAGCCAGTGGAGGACGAGTATGATGGCAAGCGTTGAGCAAAAGGAGTTAAGTCTTGTAACTGTTCAGCATCAATTTGTTTGATGTCATCCAGTTGGTAATATCGCTGATGCATGACTGAACGCGAGACAGTGAGCGCATCGGTTCTCTAGTGGCCTTTGGGTTAAACGAAAGGTATGTCTTCGTATCGTCGGCATAGAAGTGAACGTTCAAGCCATGTTGTCTTATTATGTCTGCAAGGGGTGCAGTGTACAAAGAGTGCATGATAGGACCGAGCACCGAACCTTCGGGGACACCGTAGAGAAACTTTCTACTGGTGGAGTGCTCATTTGCCACGTTGACAAATTGGGTGCGGTCCGTCAAGTAGAACGTTGACCAGGACAAGGTTTATGCGGTGATTCCGAAACGATGTTCACGTCTACCGAGTAACATACCATAATCTATCGTGTCAAACGCACTGGAAAATCCAGTAACACGTGTAAGACGCAACTGTTGTCATCAAGTTAAATGTCATTGTGAATACGAGTGAGAGCTGTAGTGCTATGTGCTATTCGATTAGCTGACTTAAACATTTCAACCCTGTCCAATAATTGTTAAATATTTACCTCCTAGCGAGTGGATAATGTGTGAGCTTGGTGTTTTCCCCATTTTTTCAGAGAATGATCTGTTAAAACTCGACAAAATCCTAGGGTTGACATTTTTTAAGGCGACAGAAGACTTCGAAGGATTCAAAACGGCGTTTTTCCATTTACTATAGCTGAGTTTTGTGCTCGATGTATTTACAGCTCCCCTTTATTCGCGTAGAAGAGGCCGTTTCGTGAACTCAGCGTTTCCTAAAAAGAGAAATTTGCCTCAAAAATCGAAGTTTATGTATGACAAACAAATTTGAATGCAAATGTTTGCAGAAATTCTACGTTTCAAGTAAATAGGAAAAAGAATAGGGTCCTTGCGATCCGACAACGGCGACGTCCGTGAAAACGTCGCTGAAAAACGGACTTCGCATCATTTTAAACCTTTTTCGCGATTATCCCAATTCACCCTGTTACTTAAAAGAAGAGGATTTTGGCTGGAGCTGAAGAGAGGGGAACGCGCTCAAGTTCAGACAGAGTTGGTAGAATTTATCGCCTTGCCGTTCCCGTTCCCAATGAAACTCAAAATTAGGTCATTTCACGTCGTAATTGTGCAGTGGAGGCAACGAAATGTACAAAAAAGCGTCATGCACGTGTAGTGTTGTTGTTTTGCTCATTAAACCTATTGTTTTTCGACGTTCCCGTGGCCGTCGTCGTCGTGGTTTCGTAAGGTCTCTAATACTAGGGAGCTTCAGCAACTGCTACGACGACGACGACGAGGACGACGACAACTTCAAAAAACAATAGGTTTAATGATCAAAACAACAGCTCTGCACGTGCATCACGCTTTTTAGTACATTTCTTTGACGTCCACTGCACGACTACGACGTGAAACCTCCTAATATGACGTTTTATGGAGGACGTGGACATTCGACGACGAATTTTCCTTCCTCTTTTTAAACTTGAATGGGTCCAAATAGACGCGATTAAGGTTGACAGAACGCAAATTCATTTTTTTTAGCGACGTTTTCACTGCCGTCGTCGTCGTCGTTGCTTTAAAAGGTCTCTACTACAGGAAGACGACGTCTTACCTCGAGCAAACGGGGCGCCATTTTTGTCAGAACTTCATGCGAATAACGACGCAACAAACCTTTTTGGCTATAAACTTGGCAGGTCAACAGAAAACGACCAAGCTCTACTTTTCTTCTCAGATAAGGAAACAATTCAAACTCTTAACGGTTCCATTTTAGCCATTACGCTGTTGTTTGCGAAGTGACAAACTTGTGAATTGCCATGTTTGAAAATTCTGCGAAGATCTATTTTTAAACTTTCGCGCGATTTGATCCGTCAATCAAATCGTACTTTTTAATAGTTTCCTCTCTGATTTTGTTGAGATCACTTCGCGTGTATATACTAAAACAATTATTTTTTGAAATCTCGGTGAATAGTGGTTTTAGGAATATTTACCTCGCCGCTTCATTCAAAGTTGTTTATCCAAGGTTTGAGCATGGTCTTGTATTGCTAGCAACTTTGATAAGCGGTGGAGGGGGGATCACAAGCACAAGATTATGGAGAGGCCATTTATGCCAAAATACGGTACAGTGTCTCAAATACTTTTGCAACTGATTGTAGCTTTTCCTTTGATTTTCTTAATAGCCTTGTTGGCATTGTTAATTGCATCAAATACTTGGATGTCTATCTTTATCTTTGGGAGGCTAGGTCTATCAGGGGCACCCAACAGGAAATTTTGAGAAAAAGACCTAAGAACAACAACGAAGCTTGAATAAAACTGTCTGAAGCCATTTTAAGCATTTTGAGAGATTGCTGGGAAAAATTTATCTGTTCCTCACTCCTAGCAAGACTAATGGAAGAGTTCCCAGCCAGCAAGGTGCACATACAACCTGTGCAACCTGACTTACTGGGAGGTTTCCCAGCAGACGTATGTCCACACTTTACTGGCCAGTTTAGGTGTGGTCATAGTGAGGGAATGTTGATAGGAAATTGGGTGTGGCAAACGGGCGAAATTCACCACTTCAGTGGGTGGGGAGGGGAGGAGGGGAAGAGAGGTTTCTGGCAATTAGCACATGGCAGCTATATTCTAGACATGAAATCCCCTCAGACAACCTAAATTTCCTATTTCCGAGCAAGATTTTCCTTCCAGGCACATACTATTTCTTCCAAATCTCCCAGCCAGCAAAACGTTGCCTGAAGAACAGATATTTTTAGGAAGAGATCCATTGAGTGCCCCTGAGGTCTATGAGCGATAGGTTTTTGTTTCACAGCTTCCCTTTTCCTTAGTATGTCATTTTTAATTTGTTGCACTTTTCCGTCCACGTCTGTTCTGGTAGTATTTTGCTGATTAACTGTAGATTCACCACATTCCGTAGTGGTACAGTAACAACCCGCGACTAAGAAAGTGGTTCTTAAGAACCTGTTAGGCTAAAGATTGGCAGTTAGGCCCCCTCTATACAAGAACTTGTTTAGCCTAGAATTTGGAACAGGTTCTTAATTTGTAAGATCTCTGAAAAAATTTTTTAAAAAAATTAATCTGTTCACTTGAATTTTTGAATTGAATTTTCACTATATCCTCATGGGTTAGCCTGCTTGATCCTTACCTTGATAGCACCCAGTTCAATTTCAGTAAGTCTTTTGTATTGGACAATGTCTCTTCTTACATTGGCAAGCTTGTTTGCATCGAGGTATGTCCGCTTTGTTGAGTTCTGTCTGTTAGAAGTCTCAACGGTTGTGTTTTTTTCTGATGGATTAATAATAGAGGCATACTGTACGTGCCTCCATAATTTCTTTATACTCATCCGGACTCTATTTTCTGCTGTGCTCGCTTAGAGGGATTTTAAATGTTGGCAGTCAGAAAACCTTTTTGAGATGTATCCTCTGTGTGATTATCCTCTGATGGCTTATTTTGGGGGAGTCTTTAGATGATTTATCTGGCTTAGACGGATCATTCGTCTTAGGTGAATGGTCCGTCTTGAGTATGAGTTCGGCCATTGAGTCTTGCGCCAAAGAAACTGTCGGTACCAGGACTTGTGGATTCCCTTTTTCAAGCCGTTTGCTTTGCTACATCTCATTTTCAGTGTTTGCTAGACTGCGAGACTTGTTCGGCCGCTTGCCTTTACCTTGTCGTAATAGCCGAGCTTTACCTTCAAGAGGTAACGGTTAACTGCATTGCCGATCACGCGAAGACCGTCAGGGTCTTAGTCTTGGCCGATGTTTTAACGCAGTGTTGCATAAAAATCCTCGAGGATTTTGTTAACTGCCTCCAGTTCGCAGCGTTCAATATATTGGTCGTGGTCCTTTTATGCTGCCCAAGACCTGTAAATATTTAGCGATTTATGTGTGCTTTGTTGTTTGTTTTTGTTTTTGCATTTTCCGTTAAAATTTTAAGTAAAATGCTGTTACTAGTTTCAAATCTGCCCGCCATTTTATGTCTAGGCAGCCGATTTGCAACGTTGCATACCTGTCAATCATGTTTAATTGCACCTTTTTGCACTCAATTTCACTTTTTTGGATTTTAAAACTACATCTGGGATAAATTAATATGTTCAGCACCAGTCAGGAGATTGTAGAAATGGTTGAATGTATATTCTTACTACGAACAAAACTCAAACCGCGCACAAAGGAAGTACATGTAAGAAAAGGTGGAAATACGAAAGAAATTAATCTAGCGAAACCAATATCTGTGACATGTCGTAAGACACGGCGAGAATTTTCAAAGCACAACCTGCTTTCGGTAACATGCATGTTTATTGAAAGGTCGTTTCACGAATCGAGGTTTGCTAGTTTTCTTCCTTTGATGGGTAATCTAAACCAGTATTAGATTAAAGCTCACTTTATCATCGGGCAGTAAATTTGAATTCTCAGCTGTTTTGTAAACGACGTATCCACGAGTTTCCTATTTTTACTTTGTATCCTAATTCTTTACTTTATTCCACTCTATGTGATCAGAAACCTCTCGGGAAAAAAAAAGAAAAGAAAAGATGGGGAAAAAGGAAACAAGATACATGCGTTGCTTAATGTTGCTTACTAGCCTTTATTGTAAAACATTATCATGTAATTGATAAGTGCTATTTCGATGATGTTTTCAGCTTTCCTTGAAGTCTTTAGCCTTTGATAACCTGATTACACCAGACAAGAAAAGTGGCTTAAGCTGCCTACAATCAGCTTGCATCGAAGGAAATGTAGAAGCGTTTACGGCGATTCTGAATAACAGTCCAAGTAAAATTGACACTATTACAGCACTGAATGTCAAAATCGGAAGCAACTCATTCCATTTTCCGGGAAAGTCAGTGTGGGCAGTATTGATCTTGCACCAGTCCCAAAGACATAAGCAGATTTTGACGCGTGTTAAAGCAATCTGTCAGGATTTTCATTCTCAGTCCCTGCTCCACTTAGCTGCAAGAGAAGGACAGATCCACCACCTTCGTAGACTGCTGGATGGCGATGAGCAGGTTAATGCAGAAACGACAGATTACTCAGGGAAAGGTCAGACACCTCTTATGTTGGCTGCGAGATTTAATGACGAGGAAGTTATAGAATTTCTTATCGAAAGAGGTGCCTCTCCAGAAATGGAAGATTATCAGCATCGTACTTCATTTCATTATGCCGCTGAAGGTGGAAAAGTAAGAAATGTTTTACGACTGATCGAGCGTGGTGTTAATGTTTTGCAAACAGATGAAAGCGGTTACTCAGCTCTACATTTGGCTGCTTCAAATGGCCATACAAATGTTGTTCGTCTGCTTATTGAACATGGTGCTGACGTTAATGAAGTTGCACATTCTTCTGATAACTCTGGGTGCACGCCTGTTATGTTAGGTGCAGAGAAGGGACACTTGCGGACTGTTCAGGTTTTGCTACAGAATGAAGCATACTCGAATAAAGGAAACGGGAATACCTGGCTGCCATTGCACTCTGCCGCTAAAGGAGACCATACAGAAGTTCTTAAGTTCCTTCTTAAACGTGATGGAAATGTCTTAGCTGTAACGAATCTCGTGACAACAGTTCTTCACCTGGCAACAACGTTAGATTTGGTAATGACTCCTGTCGATCATGGTGCTAAAATTCAAGCTAGGTATTTAGGTATTTTATTTATTTGCCACACAATTACAATAATTACTTAAAGATGCCAAAAGAAAAAAAAAAAATGTAGGAAGAGATGGCGAGGAGGCCTAAAAGAAACTATAGAGCTTATGTTAATTAGGCCTCCTCAATTACAATTTTTCGAAGATGGCATAAAAATTACGGCGACGGGTACAATATAATATCAGGTGAAAAATTAAACTAATCAATATTACGGAAGTTTACATGTACAAATGTTGAATATTAAAAGGCTTTTTCCCAAGATTTTTGTTGAAGTATACTAATAATTATTACAAATAAATGCCTTAAGCGCTCTTTTAAAGGAGAAAGGTGAGGAAGCGTTGATGATGTTGGTGTTTAAGGTGTTGTAAAATTTAGGTCCTTGATAAAAAACGGAAAATTGCTTGGTTCGAGTACGACAGAAAGGCAGACGAAATTTACACGAGTTTCTTGTATTATACGAATGAATTTGACTTTGTAAGGTAAATTTACAATGAAATTTTAAAGGTAGAGTATGGTTTTGATAGGAGTACATGAATAAGCCTAGTTGTATTAAGTATATATCATGAAATTTTAAGATACCAAGATTTTGAAAGATTGGATCAGTATGTGCATCGAAAGTGGTTTTAGCTATAGTTCTGATCACTCGTTTCTGTAAAATCTCAAGACGAATAAGGTTAGTTCTGTAAGTAGAGGCCCAAACTAAGTTGCAGTAAAAAAGGTATGGATAGACTAAAGAAAAATATAGTGTTCGTAAGGTTTTCGTTGATAAATAGAAACTGGATTTACGAATAATTCCTGTGCATTTAGAAACTTTATTGGCGACATGTGAGATTTCAGATTTCCAATTCTAAAGATATCTTCGGAAGAACGCCATTGCATGTGGCTGCTGAAAAGGGACAAACCGACACAGTAAACTATCTTTTAGACCGTGGTGCTGATGTTAACTCAAGAGACAAGGATGGTTTGTTGGCCCTGTACTATGCTCTAAAGGGAGGTCATGCTAACACAGCCAAGTTTCTGATTGACAAAGGTAGCGAGTCCTTGCTTTCAAACGATCCAAACCTTTTAGGGTTTTATGAAGCTGACTTGTTACAATCCTCTGCCAGAGAGGGTTTAGTAGATATTGTAGAATTCCTTTTAAACAGTGGTGTATATGTGGATGCCGTCCCCAGCAACGGTGATTCCTTGCTGACTCCTCTTGAGGAGGCGGCAAGCACCGGACATTGCGATGTGGTGAATGTGCTCCTAGAACAAGGAGCCGACATTAATGGGAATGTTAGCTCAAGAAGAGAACGTCTACAAGAAAAGCAAAAGGAGTCGGACTCGTGGGAGGATGTCAATTACTGGGGAAATATGTCTCCGCTATACGCTGCCTTACACGAAGGCCAAGGTAAAGCTGCTGAAATTCTAATAGAGTGCGGGGCTAATGTTCCAGACTTGAGTAGTGGCGAATTTCATTCTTTAGTTGATCTTGCTGCTAAGTATGGCCTGTTCGATGTTCTTAAATTACGTGGTAATTATTCATTCGACTACATGAAAGGATTTCTTTTAAAAGATGGGAACACCATTTTGACGTCAGCCGTTGATCGGATGGATTTTGGGTTAGTTTCTCGTCTTTTACAAAACGGTATGGATGTAAATGCAAAGGATGAAGATGGACAGTCGGCGCTACATGGCGTTTTTTTTTTTCAAGTAAGCAAGGATTAGATCCACATATGACCATGGAAATGTTTAAGCTTCTTGTTTCGTTTGGAGCCGACATCAACGCCTTAAACAGTACATTTGAAGCTCCACTTCATTTTGCGGTAAAACAAGGCGTGGGAAAAGTTATCGACCTTCTTCTCGAGCTCGGCTGTGAGACGACCTTTAACGCCCCTCTCAGAGAATCTCCTCTTTTCCTTGCTGTTGTAAAAGGACAATACAAACTTGCAGAAAAGTTGCTTCAGTGCGGTGCAGAAGTCAATCAAAAACGCGGTAGAGATGAACGTACACCTATACATACCGCTGTACATAGCTTCAGTAATTGCCTTACAGCACAAGTTTTGTTACGATATGGTGCGGATTTGGGAGTTAAAGATGTTTTTGGGGAAACACCTCTTTCTTTGGCAGCAGAAACAGACCATGAAATGGTCCAGTTGTTTCTGAATTGGGGAAGCAAAGTCAACACAAGAAACAAACTTGGCGAGACTCCACTTATGAAGGCCGTCAAACATTCTGAGGTTTTGATCGTAAAGACTTTGCTGGAACATGGAGCCTCAGTTAACGCTACTGACCAACACGGAAGATCCCCATTTCATCATATGGCTGATGGCGATGTAGAAGTCTGCAAGATTCTTCTAGACTATGCAGGCTCTGAAGTAAATATAACTGATTACAATGGAGAAACACCTTTACATCAAACAACATATGACCCGGACATAGTGAAGATGCTTCTTGATGAAGGCGCAGACGTGGACGCTAGAGACAAACGAAGTCGTACCCCTCTGCATGCAGCTTCTTATGAAGGTGATTGTAGTTCTGTTGAGTTGTTGATTGAACATGGTGCTGACATTAACTTTGCCGATAATCAAGGCTGGACGCCTTTACACATGGCTGCTGCTGGTAAAAATTGCGAAGCTACCGAGGTTTTGATGCAGAATGGTGGTGACATTGCAGCCATCGATAAAACTGGCAGAACTGCTCTGCATTTGGCAGGAAAAAGTGGTAGCCAATTAATGATTCAGTTGCTGGTTAGCCATGGAAGCGACCTAAATTTAAAAGATTACAAGGGACAAACAATCCTTGGTGCAATCTTCGACTGCAGTTACTCGGAAACGTTGGACTACGGTTACTGGGACATTGTAAAATACTATCTCGAACACGGAGGTCACAAGTTCGCTGTCGATGAAGCAACGGGTCGAACAACTCTTCACTTTGCTGCAAGTCATCGGTTTGTTTCTACCTTTGACGACCTGTTAGACCAAGGATTGGAACTCGAAGCAACAGACAAGAACGGTGAAACTCCTTTACACAGGGCAGTAGCAAGCGGAACCGAGGAAATGATACAACATCTGGTGAATAGAGGGGCTGATGTATGTGCTGTTAACAAAAGAGGGCAAACACCATTACTTGTCTGCTTAACCCGCCACAGGAATAATTTTTTATTAAAACTAAACCCAGACGTGCAAAAAGCAGACGATTATGGGAACACACCCCTTCACCTTGCTATATACTGTCCACGAAATTCACAAGAAATGTTTTATGATCCTTCGACCTTTTCTATAGACGACGTAAGCTTTCTGTTAAAAGCGGGAGCCGATATTCATTTCCAAGATAAGCAAGGAAACACACCACTTCATGTTGCAGCCGTGGAAGGTAGATATGACATTGTGGAGCTGCTCATCAAGGAAGGCAGCAAAGTTAACTCAACGAACGTACAGGGACGAACGTGCCTGCACATGGCGAGTTATTCTGGTGCGCTTAATATTGTGCAGACACTGGTTGCTCATGGAGCAGAACTGAATGCTGTTGATGAACTGGGATGTACACCGCTGCACGTCGCATTGACTTTTCATCGTTATTGGCTTGTGGAGCTTCTTTTGAAACACGGTAGTAATCCTAAAGCAGTTGATTATAAAGCTGCAACTCCTCTCCACGTGGGCTGCTCCTATGAAGGTGACATTGACAAGTGGATGGAAGTTCGTACCAACGAGGGCTGTTGTTTTGTTTCCACGGATGAATGGGTGTCAACAATGATCAACCACGGAAGGTAAATTACGTAGGTAGTTTGCCGTACAAAAGCTACAATCAGCGAGAAAATTATTTGGGGCACTTCGCCCTTAAAGGGCTTTCTGACGTTTTACTGACTTCAAAAGGGGGAAATAAAACTTCTAGCTACCTGTAGAAAATAACAAGCACCCGAACTTTGAGTAGAAGGAAGGGGGAGGGGTGTGAATTCTTTTGCTCTCTGAGGTTACCCTGGTTGAGGGGGAACACTTCGCCCTAAAGCGGCTTTCTGACTTTTATTGACTTGAAAAAGGGGAAATAAAGCTTTTCCTCCCCTATCTCCTCCAGGAAATGTTGTGCCATTTGACTACAACGTCTCAACAATTTTGATGATTTTGTAGATGCATAGTTTTACAGGCTTATCGATACGGTGATTGCTAAAACCTTCAACCCCTGTCATGTGGCAGAGGAAATAAAATTGTTTCTTATAGAACTACACTTCCACCATGAAGGGGTTGGTTTCTAAAGAACCTGTGGTGTAGCGGTCCCTATTAGAAGAGGTTTCTCACTGCAGAAGAAAAATGAGAAGATGGAGAGAAACGTCTGCCCGCTTTCGACGCATTTCCTATCACGCATGCGCTGGTGTATTCTTAACAACCAGTGACGGTTCGTTCATGTACGACAGGACTAACGGAAAACAACGCACCAATTGGCGAATCAAACGTATTGCCTCGTTTCAGGGAGCCAAGTATGACTTTCACTTGCCGGAAAGTTATTTCCTTTACATCTATTTTTTCCCATAAATTAAAAATAGATGATTTTACTGCCTGCTGAAATGCAAAACTAGTAAACTTGCGGAGTTCATAGAGGCAATAACAAATTTGCGCTTATACGTTTCCAGCAAATGGTCTCAGCAGGGCTCGTGACCTCCACATTACACGAAACTGGCTTTTGAAAATACTCAGTTTCGACCATAAAGATGGTCGGCGGCTACATAAAAGAAAGAGTCAGCGCGGGATATGGGGAGGGGCGTAAGAGGACTCGGTGTTTCCTCATTCTTTCTCTCTACGTGAGAGTCCTTTGCTAGCAGACGAGTGTGAAATCTTTCAATTTGGTTTCATCAACTTAGTTGATAAAGTAGACCGTTTCTGCTAAAATCTTCGAGATGTTGAGAAAAATACCCAAGACCATCGTATCTTCAATATTGTCAATCATTCCAGTCATAACATCATGGCAATCTGCGGTCCCTCTCTTCGCAAAGTCAAAAACGCGAAAAGCCGTTTTCACTTTTCAGCCATCGAACCATTTCACCTCTTCAGTGTGGTGTAAGATATTCCCTTTACATTTAGGCTAAGTTTAGGCTAGAGGAGGTCACCACTGGGAGATTCGGGTCTCCAGCCCACCTCTATTGAATAAAACGTACTGCGACTCTCACGTGTTACTTACATGAAAGTTTCGTTTTCAGTGATCTCGAGGCTAGAGACATCAGAGGATGTACCCCACTTCACATGTGTGCTGTATTTGATCGAACAAAAATTGCTCGCCGTCTTCTTAAACATGGAGCTAACGCCGATGCGAGAGACAATGAAGGGAGCACTCCTTTGCACCTTTCTTCAGTTTTCGGTGGTGACTTAGATTCAGAAGATGGTGAGTGCGATATGGTTTCGCTGCTACTTGAACATAATGCGAACATCACCTTAAGGGATTCTGAAGGAAGCATCCCTCTCCATACAGCCGCGGCATTTGGTAAGACTGGAATGGTGCGACGATTGATTCTTAAAGGCAGTGATGTAAATGCGGTCGACGGCAATGGAGTCACACCACTACACGTGTCTGCAGGCTCAGGGCACCTGAATGTTGTCCGCTTGTTGGTGGATAATGGAGCAGATTTGTTTGCTGTCGATAAGGAAGGCCTTACAGCAGCGGCATGTGCTGAGAAGTTTGGTTATAACGAAACGAAGCAGTTTCTTGAAGAGAGTCGCTCCCGGTGCTCGTAATTTTCTATTGTCATTGTTTGTGTAACATATGATGTAGGCTATTTCTGAATTTCCAAAACTCTCCCTTACAAAACGAGGCTAAGTAGTAAACGTTTCTTGTGAAAACGACTTTTAATTCCGTGAGAATAGAATATTATTTTCATATCAACAGCTTCGCACTTATAGGCTTGGGGCCACTCGGAAATGGCTTAATTATGTCTCAAAATTTTGATAGAAAAAAAAGGGGGTGGGGGAGGGAAGCCATGATGGTTGTTTAAGTACCCAATATGCGAACGCGAGTATAAGGAAACGGTTATCAGGAACAAACGTTTTATAAAACTCGAACGCTTGTGCTTTGAAATTCGGATCGTGAAAACATTTTTCAAACATTAGAGATGAAAACATATGCATATTGCTGTAAAATGTTTTAAACTACGTTAAACTGATTTATTGTAAACTATTTTATAATTATGTTCTCTTCCATGATGATAATGTGTTTGAATTCACGGGCGTTTTGTTGTTATTTGAGTAGAGAATAGTCTACGTGTAGTCAACAGGGGCGGATCTAGGGGGAGGGTGCAGGGGGTGCGCTTCCCCCCCCTTCCTGAGATGACCTGCGGTTTTCTAATACAACTGGTATTCTGCAAAAAAAACTATGTGGTTTATTGGTGTTGAAGTAGAGCAAGAGACTAGTGCACCCCCTCCTAAAAAAAATCCTGGATCCGCCCCTGGTCAGGGGGAGGGGGGGGAGGGGGCGGCTTCACGTAGGTTAAGTGAAGAATAGTATTAAACTATAGTTGATCAAGTGTTCGTCAAAGCCGTAAATTAGTTATTTAAATACGCAGCCAGAGTGTTTTTCTCTGAAATTCAGCATGTGACGTACGTACACGTTGTGCTCATCAATCTTACTAGTTTGTGGCGCTCTTACTGCCGTGCATGTCTCTCTTATTTCTGATTATTGAATTGAGGTAAATAAATCAATCACTCCATGGGCTTTTTCCCTAAACATTGTCCATGACATTTTTTTTTTTTTGAAGTAACATATCAACTTTTCAGTTATTACTAGTCCAATTAGCTGTTACGTTATTCTAGGTAACCACTATCTAGTATTGTTGACTGAATAGCTGAAACAACCGGAAACAAACAGTTCTTTCCTTTACATTCCAAGACAAATAAGATGATTCGTTTCTAGACGTTTCGGTTTCTGAACTAAAACTTCTTAAGTAATAAAAGAAAAATCGATTAGACTTAAGTGGCAACCTTGTTCCGGTCCCAGTTTCTCTCTCCTTTTTCTTCTTTTTGGGAACCGGGTTGCGTACGTGAATAGGGACCTTACGATCCGACACATCCTCGGAGACCCAGGGGCAGATAGTGGGTGCGAGGGAAATTCTAAACAGGCGGAAAAATATAGCACAAAAGAAAAGTAAAGAACGGCCAGAAGAGCCCCAGGGGACAATGTCTTACCAGACCAGTTCCAAACCGTCGCCGCCGTTCTGGCGTCTGATTGGTGCTCTCGCCGTTCTTTACTTTTCTTCTTGCCTTGTTTTTCCGCCCGTTTAGACTTTCCCTCGCTCCCACTATCTGCCCCCGGGTCTCCGAGGATGGATCCGACACGGCCACGCCGATGAAAACGTTGCTAAAAGTAGACTTTGCATTCTTTCCACTTTTTCACGATTATTCTAGGTCGCCCAGTTACCTGACAGAAGGGAAATCAGTTGGTAGCTGAAGAGAGGGCACCGCGTCCGAGTCAGTAAGAGACAGTAATTTTTTTTCGCCTTGCCGTTCCTGTTGTCAAATAAAGTAAACCTTTGGTCATTTCACGTCGTATTTGTGCAGTGACGACAAAGAAATTTCCGAGAAAAACAAACAAACAAACAAACAAACGGAGGAAAGCAAAAGGAACAAAGACAAAACAGATCTGTTGGGGTGTTCCAATTGCCGTCGCCGTATCATTTTCGTAAGGTTCCCAATAAACCCCTATAGTTTGCATGTTTTGTTTTCCCAATGCAGGTCATGAACATTTACTGAGTTGATTCCCATTGTTATAGATTGTTGTTGGTGCCGTTGACAAAGCTGAAACACTCAGAAATCAGTTAATCATTATTTATTAGCAACTTTATTTCCTACTTACATACACTTGTGTAAATACCTTATACAGTGTGTACAAAGAAAGATTGAAGATTGAAAATTGAAGACCCTCTTTATTTCTTTAGCATTTTGTTCTAATAAAAGGCGTCGTTTTACTGAAACAACAACCCGCTTAATACGGACTCTTTCTATGGACCCTTTAGAGTCCGTATTAACGGGTTTTGGTTGTATTTGTCAAAAGAAATCAATTGAGAAGAGTTAAGAACCAGGGTCTGATGCCTCTCCTTACAGTGACCCATACAGCCGCGCTTACCGTTAAAGCGTGACCAGCTGTTATTAGTTTATTTTGGTCTGAAATAGCGTCGATTACAACGCCAAGGGATCGTTTTCAAATGAATCAATGAAAGGAGAGCAAAAAGTTATATAATCACCTCGTAGTGTTTGTCCTTTCCTTTACCTTCGTTCACGTCAAAAGACAACACGCACATAAAGTAAATCTTCACAAAGCAAGCAAATTCATGTAATCTATTTCCATCGTTACAACTAAATCTTTGGATTTCTCGTGACAGTGATCATTGACGTAACATGTTACCAAAAATACATGCTGTCAGAAAGCTAGGCCAAACAGGGAAATTTCCATGTAATACGCACTACTTATCACGCTTATACTATAAAGATGCATTAAAAAACGTTATGTTTATAATAGTTGCACGAGACCTCTTTTTTTGGATTAACGCATCGATTACGTAGAGGCAGATATATGCTATTGGTAAGAGGCTCATGACACTTTTAAAACCTGTTACACTTTTGCAGTAGCTTATAACTTTTAAACTTATTAAAGCTTCAATATATATACTTTAACCTTAGATCTACAAAAGGAAGATTATATACTCCTTTAAAAATCTAAACATTAAAAAGATATTTACATACATATAAATCGATACCTCGATTTAAATCGATTTGAAAAGAGGATCTCTTAAAAATTGCCATTACACCGCTGATTTTCTTATGACCTTACTATAAGGACATGTTGTTAATTAGTATATTGTGTCAAAGGGCGCTCACACAATCTGTGTGTGTAACTGATTGTAATATTTTATAGTTAATAATATACATGAAAAAATTTCTTGATTGTGATTGGCTAAGAGGAATGCAGTTTTTAGTTAACACGGTGCAGAAAAAAGGTAATTTAGTGCAGAAAAGAGTAACAAACGTGACATTCTGATTGGCTAATAAACAAAGGAACTCACTGAGAGCCAATCAAATGCGCCATCTAAATGGCGCAAAATTTGGATCCGCTTCGGACCAGTTTCGAGTAAAAACCGCAATGGTTGGCGTTTGCCGCACATTTGCCTTTGCGACCGAAACAACTGTAGAGGAGCTGAAAAACTGCTCTAAAAACGAAAACACTGCGAAAAGCACTCGTTTTTGGATCTCTGTTTGGAAGAATTGGTGCGTAGATAAGGAAATTACTGATGAAATACAAAATTATGAGCCGGCTGAGCTTAACACTTTGGTCGAGCATTTCTACGCCGAAGTAAACATTAAAAAAGGGGAAGATTATGAACCAGAAACAGTTAAAGTAATGATGGCATCGCTCGATAGAAACTTAAAGAACAAAGGCTACACCCTGTCCATTGTACGTGACCGAGAATTTAGTTCGTCCAAAGAGGTGTTGGAGGACAAAGCGAAACAGCTTCGCTTGGCTGGCCGTGGTAAGCGCCCAAACAAAGCACGGCAAGTATCAGAGGAGGAAAAAGAAGTTCTCTGGAAGAGCGGAAAACTCGAGGTAATAACCCAGAATCTAATTCAAACACATTGAACAATTCCATGAACTGTTCAGCCCGTTTCTGCAGCTTGCAAACTTGAAAAACATCGAGCAAAATGTTGTTTTGACTGCACGTGTGATGATATTTGCAACATTTGAATAATTTATTTTTGCACGTACTTTACGCGTGTTGACTCCCTATCAAAGAGATTTTAAAGCTATCTCGCAATTTTTTATGATTTGAAAACTTTACTCGTGCTTATTTATTCCAAATTGCACTCGAAATCATGTGATTACCTGTACAAATGTACTGGATTAACTGTTTGCGTCACCTAGAGCGATATGTCGCAAAGTATTTATATAAATCAAAGTTAAAAAAAAACGTTGAATTACCTTGCCTGTGCTATACTGTCGTCCTTTTGCCTCAAAAGCGGTTTGAAAAAAACAAAAACGGAGACCTCAGAATCCTTCAAAATCGCTTGAAAAACCGCTTTTGAGGCAAAAGGACGACAATATACCATAGGCAAGGTAATTCAACGTTTTTTTAACTTTGATTTATATACATACTTAGCGATATATCGCTGTAGGTGAAGCAAATTGTAAATCCAGTACATTTACTGTAAAAATATTGCAATCGCTTACACACACATTGCTTGGGCGCCCTGTGATTGTATTGTGATCATTGTTAACAAAAATCATGCCAGTTCAGGCTACTCCCACTTTTCCTTTACAAAAGCAAAATTGCTTTGCATACTTTGAAGAAATCCGACATAAACAAAACAACATAATCCTACTAACTTCTTTTGAATCGGTGTTAATCATCATCCGAACATTGATGCCTTGTCTTTTTCATAGAAGCATATTCTTGAACAATGATTTTGTTATTTTCCGAACTAGCCTCTACACTTGAAACCGGTAAAACGGCCTCTCAATTAAAAAAATGGTAACTAAAAAAATCAAAGAGGTTGCAAGCGATCAATTGACTGACAAAACTAGAAAACGAAATGTGATTGTGTTTGAGAGCACATCCACACTGTTATTTTCAGGGAGTTATAATAACTCCTCTAGTGGGGCTAATTTAACTCCTTACAGTGGAGTTATTTTTCGTGGAGTTACTTTAACTCCAAAAAGGAGTTTAAAGAACTCTTTTTCAGGAGTAAAAGTGACCCCAGATATTGAGGAGTTAATATAACCCCAAAAAAGGAGTTATCCTGTACCTAAAATTTTTACTCCACTTTCAGAGTTAAATTAACTCCAAAAAGAGTAAAAACAACCCATGGAAGGAGTACAAGTAACCCCATTTCGGAGTAATTTTAACTCCAGACTGGGAGTAAAAAGAACTCTTTTACAGGAGTAAAAATGACCCCAAATTCGGAGTTGAATTAGGAGTTAAAATAACCCCAAAAAAGGGGTTATCCTGTACCTAAAATTTTTACTCCATTTTTGGAGTTATAATAACTCCCTAAAAATTACGGTGCATTCAAATTTCACCTTCTATGCAACCAGTACAGTTTAGAAGCATTTTCACAGGTCGTTTCAGTGACATATGCCCTTCACGGATTGAACTTCCCTTTTCCAGGTATAAAGCGGAGAGTGGCGCGAAATGGGCTCACTTTTCATTGCGCCGTCCCCGCTACTTGAACGCCTGGAAAAGGCTAGAGTCGAATATTAGCGACAAGACTGAGAACAAAGATTTCAACGTCAAAATCTTAAGAGTCAGCTTAGTAGGCTAATCAACCATTGGGAAATATCGCAATTGCATTCCAACGTCTATTTTAGCTAGGTTTAAGGTGGGGGGCGGGGGAGAGAGCCAAATTGGAAGAAAACGGTTGTCCGTCGTCGATGCTAAAGCTGTCAAAAATCTGCTACGCAAGGCGTGATAATAAGTTAAGTTACACTCTTAACTGCCCCCAGCCTTTAATTTCTCAACTTTTACTGGAAGATACATAACAAACAGCGGGTGAGAAACCCACGGTGGAGGAGCTTTCGAACTCCGCATTGCATATCGTTTCCAGTTCGTGTATTCATTTACAGTTGAACCCCATTAAGCAGGCACCACAGGAAGTGACTTTTAAAATACAGCCAAGCTACGTGCTTGATGGCCGCCTGAGATGACGACAATAGCAAAACTATTGTTGGGGTGACAGTAAAAAGTGGCCCCGGACGTAAATAGAGGTTTCATTGATTTTAAATGAAACCTTCATTCGTGACAATTCTTTTCTACAATAATTTTGACACTTTTATTACTGGATGCTTATTAGAAGGGAGCTGCTTAATGGCGCTTTAACTGTTCATTTTTAGAGGGTTTAGAACAGTCTCGAATAAAGTTCTAAATTAATACTTACGGTAAAAAGTATGGTTAAGTTTATCACATCAGCATTTCGTGAAAACTTTCAAAGCTGAAACTCTCCTTTGGCTCACTTATATCGACTGAACGAAAAATGTCTTCCAGCTTAACATCATGCAATGGATTATTGGCTACAAAGGGGTTTCGCTGAGCGTCTTTAATTTGTTTGTCAACGTCTTTGTATATTTCGGTGAAAAGCACTCCTTGCTCAATAAAAAATCTGTTCCATTCATTTTTAAATCCACAACAGTGGAGAAAAACAAGCCACTTCCTGCCATGTTGACGTACGATCCCCGGAGACCCCGATGATCCTTCAAAAAAATTGCTGGACTGATATCTTCCTCTTTTCCTGTCCTTGAGTTTAAGAGTCTCCTTCTCTGCTTCACCTACTACTTTTTCTCCCCTTCGTATAGTATACACGTAATGCTTCAGACCGTCTTGCGGACTTGCATCTATCGTGCACCTCAGGTCGACCTGTTTTGGCTCTCCCTCTGGATGTCCAATGAGTCTCAGAGGCACTTCATGCAGCTTCGACCAGTCACTGTTATCAGGATTCATGATGCTGACACCACGTGAACAAATACACGGCGGGAGGGACTGTTCTGGTTCTTTCATTTTTAATATGGCGTAGTCCAGGTCCTGGGACTGCAACACAAGACGATCGATGTATTTTCGCTCTGAAAGCGATTCATCCGCTTTCTTGAAGTTGAAATCAACAAAAACGTCCTCCACTTCTCCTTTGTTAATTTTCTGCTGAATTTGATCTATTACATGCTTATTAGTGATAATGTACACCGTACCTATTCTGAAACAGGTACCAGCGAGATGACGCTGCTTTGCAGTATCCGACGTAAAAATGGCACCAACCGACTTAGCTATTTCAGTAAGGTCCTCCATATCGCAAATGTAGGACCGGAAGCCCTGATCTAGAGCGAACTTTTCAAACTCCGCATGCTGCTTGTGTAGTTCTTTTTCATTTTTGACGGTTAGTTCTTTGTGATTAAAATCGAACATAATCTCAACCAACGCGCCAGATTTCTCCCCCGTATTAGCAGACGTTTCTGTTGTCCTTGGGGTACTCGAATCCACTGGTGTCAGACTACTGAGAGTGGACGAAGATGTAGCTGAAGTAGACTCTTGCTTTATCTTGCTTGGTGTTATACCAGCAGTTGTTACAGAACGATCTGGATGGAGACGTGGTGGAACCTCTTTGGGCAATGCAGTATCTTTTTCTCTTACAGAAAAAATCTTAATGCACTTGCCTTGAATGTTAGCTGCTTCAGAACATAAACTGATTTGTACCTCATCAATATCAGTTGCCTTACAATAACGTAGCTTTTCCTCTATGAATCGTCTATCCCTTACCAAGGCTTCAAAAATTGTCTCATCATTGAAAAAGTCAACCTTCATCTTGGTACTAATGATCTTTGAGAATTCGGTGATGCCAGAAGCAATCTGTCCCTCGGAAAATGATACAAGGAAATAGCCCAGGTTCCAGTCGATACTAAAGTCTTCCACAGCATACTGGCGACACAAGTCACTAGGATGCCACTTAAGATTTTTTGATTTGAAGGAACAGTTGTAGGTTTCCTCGCTAGACAATACTCCAACCGGCAGACCAACATTGAGATATTCATAATTTGCATTATAAAACAACATATTTTCCAATGGAGGTTTCATACGTGCATTGCCGGACTCCTTGAATATCCTCTCTACGAGGTTGCGAACCGTTTCTCGTCCTGTCGACTGGCAAGACTGGGTCTTCATGCTACTGTAGCCAGGGAAGGATACCTTGTACAACTTCGACTTTAAAACACTCCTATCGAAAAGCAAAAACAAAAAACAAGTTCACACCAAGAAACAACCTGTTTGTTCAATAGACGGTAATAACATCCATCCTTGTCTTAAACGCTTCAATGGGCAGCACTCCACAACAGCAAAGGCTACCAAAGTGTACCCAACCTTGAAACTGAAAAATGATTGTGCAACCTTACATTAACAGGCGGTTGTCAATCACTCATGATTGGTTTTGGTTGAAAAGTAAATTCAAGAAGTTAAGCCTTGGATTAAAAGAAAGCTTAAAGAATTCCTTCTCAGTACGTATTAGCTTCATTTTGGCACTAAGTAGATTATTAGATTAATTAATTTAACATGCGTGTTTGTGTGTGTGAGTGTATGTGTGTGTGAGTTCGCGGTCAAAGTTAGCCATCATAAGCCCATATTGTAATTATATTATCAAGACTAGTTTATCCTAAGTTGAGGAGACCTGACTCATTATAAGCCTCGTGGTTTCTTTCAGGTCTCCTCGCCATTTACTTTTTTTATCTCATTATTCCAACCTTAAATTGTAAAATTTTTGTATATAATAATGGCAAATAAAAATGAATGAATGAATGAATGAATGAATGGATCCACAGATCCTTAACTACATAGTTTATTAACCATTTTAAGGTCATAAATTATGTATTCCCTTTTGTTTGTTTAGCAGAAGTCCTAGCCTTCAGGTAGAGTTACCACAACAAATAATTGTCTAGCCTACAAGCAAGCTCTCTAATTGGGCGAGCGAAACGAACTGCGCGGGAACGCGCGAGCGAGCGGAGGAAAAGGAGAGCTTGCCGCGATCCCTTATAAATTTTCACTTCTGCTTCGCCTAGACAAAACGAAATACACTTGGCTAAAAAAAATGACGCACCGTCAATTAAATTTGATTGATGACATTCCTTGTCGAATAAGTTAAAAACATGATGCTTATGGAAAACATGAAGATCACTCCATTTTCCGAGGAAGAAGACCGTTCTCTCCCTCTGTGAAAGATAACTGTGGACTGCGTGTTTTTTTCTACGGTTCAGTTTGGATCTCAAGCACGCGGAATAAAAAAAACCAGCAAGGGGTTTCCAGGAAAACATATTATGATACTAAATCTGACCGCGTTTTTTGTAAGAACTGAAAAAAGGCTGACACATTTCTTGTTTCCGGTGACAGTTTTTCGCTTTCCTGTGGTTTCCGGGGTAGAAATGAAAATTCATCAAAGATCTTTGCAAGCTCTCCTTTCTTCGCCCGCCCTTCGCTGTCGCGTGCGGCTCGCGCGTTTACTTTTCACAATATCCCCCAAATGGAGAGCTTTCTCACAGGCTAATAATTATCCAGCCCTGAGCAAACACAAATGAAAAATAAAATGAACTCCATCACCCGGGTTTAGCTGCCAAGAAAAGTTATCAGGCATAGTATAAACATAGCCTTAGCTAAACCATTCCATTTCGTCTCCGTTTGAGAGCATGAGTTCTAAGGAGATATTATTCTTTTTAAGCTCGAAGAATTCTAAAGTGTATGAGTTAAAATTAAAGACTGTACAACCACCACCACCACCACCAAAACAACCATCTCTTTATTCACATTAAAAACATGATTGTAAAACGTGTCTCCAAATCTATAAAAACTATTATTGTCTAATTTATTAAATAAATACAAACATGTACACAAAGACATAACGATGAAGATTATTTTTTTTGAAATATCAATGTTCTGATCGATCCTCTGTTGGTGATCTATGAAGTTTTCTTATTGACACACACTACGTCTGGGCTGCCTGTGCTTTAACTAAGCCAGGAAATCGAGCAGCTATTCTAAGATACATGTGGAATTAATAGAAGCAATGCAGTGGAAGCATTTCCAAGACGACCCCAAAAAATCAAAGGTGTTACGAAAAATTGTATTGCGTGACTAGCGTGACTTTCCAGAAGCTTCGCGAGAGTTCATAGCTTGTTTATTTTAGGATCTTATGTAAGCGTTTTTAAAAGCGGTATATTTTGTAATCTTTCTATAATTAGACTATTTGGAAAGTTCTAGAATCTTATTGTAAAAGTATATAAGTAGGCGAGCCCGAGTTAAGTTTTAACTAGTTTTCACAAGCGGAGAGAGTTTGACGTTGGTCGTGTTTAGTCAAGTGTGACGAAGGCAGAGTTTATTCAAGTTGGCGGAGGCCGTGTAAGTTTATCAAGTTTATTCAAGTTGGCGGAGGCCGTATAAGTTTATCGAGTTACGTGCTGTTGTGGAGTTTTACTTCGTGGAAACTACGTTCACTTTGGAATAAATCCTCTTGTTGCTGTTCCAACAACCCTGCGTTCAGTTTGGTTTGCAAGCTACCCGTCCTCTAAAAGATTACCCGCGTAACATTGGGGGCCTGTCCGGGAGAGGAATTCAACTGTTTGCCGACTACAGTAACCAGGAAAGGACAGTTCAAGAAAAAGGAGTATACAGTGGAAGTAAGAAGAACTGATACGAGGAAGTATATCGAGTGTGTTTGCTGTGAACTACTGCTGTGGAAATGGAAAAGCTTTTGCAGATAGGGAAGGAATTCGGATTGGAGGGAGAAAAACTGCTTGAGTTTGTGCGGGAGCAACAAAAGTTAGAAGAAGAAAGAAGGAGGGAGGAGGAAGAAAAAGAAGAAAAACGTAGACAATTGGAAGAGCAAAGAGAAGAAAAGCGTAGGCAGTTAGAAGAAGAAAAGGAAGAGAGACGTCGAATACTTGAAGAAGACAGAAGAAAGGAAGAAGAAGAGAAAGAGGAAAGGCGTAGAAGCGAGGATGAAGAAAGAGAAACCAGGCGGCAAGAACGTGAACTAAGATAATTAGAGATGGAAGCCGAGCTGTTGAAACAGAAAGAGGCTATTGAAGCGGCAAAGAGGGAACACGAGTTGGAAATTGCACCTTTGGCTGCAGCAAGTGCTGATGGACGTCCCGAAGTGAGAGAGGATAGGGCGAAGGCACCCAAGCTTCCCTCATTTGTTGATGGCAAGGACGACTTGGACGCTTATCTACAAAGTTTTGAGAGATTTGCAGCGACAGCTAAATGGGAGAAGACAGGATGGGCTTCGAAACTTAGTGCTCTTTTGTCTGGTCGTGCGCTTGAAGTTTATTCGCGATTATCTGAGGAAGCAGCTCAAGATTATGAGCGAGTGAAGTTAGCTTTGATGAAGAGATATGACCTTACGGAGGATAGTTATCGTCGTAAATTTAGAGCATCAAAGCCGGAAGTTGACGAGAGTCCTGAACAGTTTATAGTGAGACTGGATAGATACTTGTTGCGTTGGTCACAGCTGTCAAAAACCGATCGTTCTTTTGAAGGCCTGAAAGATTTAATTGTGAAAGAGCAGTTTATTGAATCTTGTCCGAAGGAGTTAGCTGTCCACCTACGAGAAAGAGCCCCGGAAACGCTTGTTCAGATAGCGAAGATCGCCGATCAATATTTGGAAGCGCATGGAAAGCACCTGTCTAGCTCTACGAACAAGAAGCCGCAAATACAGTCTAAGGCGGAGGAAATAAAGACTGTTCAGAGTAACAGTGACACAACAGCGCTCCAGTGTTACAAGTGTAATGCCCGTGGACACAAAGCAATTAACTGTCCAACTCTAGCAAGAAAGTGCTTCTTATGTGGCAAGCAAGGGCACGAAGCTAGAAACTGCCGCTCAAACAAGCAGAAGTCAGGAGGTCAAAATAAAGATGGTAACCCTGTGCAACGTGGTCAAGTTAGTGCTGGCTGTTTGGTTAAGCCACCCGATGTTAACGCTACTCCAGCGGAAGTCAAGTCGTGTATTGAAAATGATCAGCTTCTGTTAGCCTGTGGCAAGAAAGTCCCGTTGCTGAGCAATGCTTGTGTTGAACCCTTAACTGGAGTAGGAACTAAGATGCCTGTTGTAAAGGGTAGAGTTGGAGAGAAGACTGTCGACGTTTTAAGAGATACTGGTTGCAGCGGAGTTGTAGTAAAGAGGGATCTTGTCGGCGAGGATCAGTTCACCGGAGACTTTAACGTTATGCTGCTTATTGACAACACTGCCAGGAAGGTGCCCATAGCAAGAATATATGTTGATACGCCTTATCTTAAGGGCCATGTAGCAGCGCAGTGCCTTTCAGATCCTATCTACGACCTTATTATTGGCAACGTACCTGATGCCAGGGACGTACAAAATCCATACCCCAGTTGGCAAGAGGCCTGTGCAGTGACTACAAGAAGTCAAGCTAAGAAAAAGGATGAACGCCCAGCCTTGAAAGTGCCAAGTAGCCGTGAGAGCCCTATTGTGGATAGAGAGAAGCTCAAGCAGATGCAGCGTGAAGATGAGAGTCTGCACAAGTACTGGGATCGAGACGATGTGCTAGTAAAGGGTCAGGCAGAAATTTCATTCGAAGAAAAATGCGGAGTACTGTACCGTCTGTGCAAGCACCCTTATGTGAATGGTGGTAAACCGCTTAAACAAGTCATGGTACCTGAAAAGTTGAGGCGCCCCATAATGGAAGTAGTGCACAGATCAATCATGGGCGGTCACATGGGCATCAAGAAAACAACAGACAAGATCCAGAGTGCGTTTTATTGGCCTGGAATTCAAGGTGACGTGACTCGATTTTGCAAGTCCTGCGACGTTTGTCAGAAGACCGTAAGTAAGGGACCAGTGCCGAAAGTACCGTTAGAGAAGATGCCGCTGATTGACAAGCCCTTTAAGAGAGTAGCAATAGATCTTGTTGGTCCTATTAGTCCCCCGAGTGAAGAAGGACACAGATACATATTGACGCTTGTAGATTTTCCGACTCGCTACCCCGAGGCTGTACCACTAAAGAAGAATAACCTGAGAGACACTGGACTACCCCTGTTGTATATTAGCTTACAATTTTTCTCTTGTATTGGAAATTTAGGAAATTTCTTCTGAAAGGGGGTTATGTTACGAAAAATTGTATTGCGTGACTGGCGTGACTTTCGAGAAGCTTCGCGAGAGTTCATAGTTTGTTTATTTTAGGATCTTATGTAAGCGTTTCTAAAAGCGGTATATTTTGTAATCTTTCTATAATTAGACTATTTGGAAAGTTCTAGAATATTATTGTAAAAGTATATAAGTAGGCGAGCCCGAGTTAAGTTTTAACTAGTTTTCACAAGCGAAGAGAGTTTGACGTTGGTCGTGTTTAGTCAAGTGTGACGAAGGCAGAGTTTATTCAAGTTGGCGGAGGCCGTGTAAGTTTATCGAGTTACGTGCTGTTGTGGAGTTTTACTTCGTGGAAACTACGTTCACTTTTGGAATAAATCTTCTTGTTGCTGTTCCAACAACCCTGCGTTCAGTTTGGTTTGCAAGCTACCCGTCTTCTAAAAGATTACCCGCGTAACAAAAGGGCACAGAGCCTTTCAAACTTTAAGGCATGAAACTTGTATAGATTCAGGCCAAAGCTGTTGTTTAAGGCCAGGAACCTCAGATGCTGCTTAATTAGCTATTACACTGTAGGAATACTGCAAGAAACATGACACCCCACTAAAAAACTATGTACAGTGGAACCCTGCCTTACGACCACCTCATTTATACCACCACCTTGTTATTACAACCATATTCTTTCGACCCAAAACTAACAAACACTAAGTCATCTTATTATTTTGAAGACCCCGTTAATACGACCACCTTGTTATTACCACCAGGATTTTATGGCCCAGTGGTGGTCATATTTACAGGGTACGATAGTACATGCATACTGATAAAAAATGAAATGCCAATTAATCAATTTATTTACTACTGCTGCTAATTTTCCTATTTCTGTTACTGTTCCATCTCTAATACATGTATATTTGAAAAATTAAGGCTCTGCAAGAAAAATATTATTAAATATTCATTATTTTCCAATTATTCATGTTTTCCTTAAAACAATTATTGTTTTACGGAAAACATGAACAATTGGAAAATAATGGAATAGACTTTTTGCTTTACCTTGAACTCTTCTGCTTTTCTTCTTCATCTGGGAAATCATTGCTTGAGTGTGCATTGCTCTCATCTAGATACCCGGAATCCATCCCTTCCTGTTAAACAAAAAGCCTTGTTTTACTTACAATGTACAGAAAACAAAAGAGCATGAATAGGTATAACAGCCTGTCAGGTTCTCCCTGAGGACCTGAGGTCTAGCATTCTTTAACAATTAAGTTTAAACTCAAAAAGCATCAAATTTCATTTCAGCAAAATAATAATAAATTATACATGTCACGAGCAGTTAATTTCCTTTCTCATATATTTTTGTATTTCCTCTTACCGGTATTTTTTTATTTCTTTTTTTCTCCCTTCTTTCTTTGTATCACTATTATTTTTTCTCTCATTTCTGTCAATCTGTAAATCCAAGGCTAAAATAAAGGTGATGTAGGTATGTTCCGAAAACATATTTTTAAAAGAAATACATCTACATTTATGACTTGCCTTAATATTCAATGCAATACTGTTAAAAAAGCTTGCATAAAATTATATATGATGTTTTTACAAGTATGGAAAGTAATTTATCTTTAAAACAAGTAGGTGAATTCTGTTTTTAAGAGAATTTGACAATGCAACAGTAAGGAGCTTTCAAACAAGTTGAATTTAATTTGCTTGTTAGAGAGTTGTATCTCGAGAGTAGCGTTACAGTAATCATCAAACCAACCCAAAGTTTTCAAAAAGAAGCTAGTTGCATTCTTGACAATGTGTAATAGTGCATGTGCTAGCTCAGTTGAGTCTGCAAGGAGGCGAAATACTGACACTTTTTAAGGGGGGTCCAATATCGCTATGCAAAAATAATGCTTTCATGTAGAAATTGAAATTTTCACAGCTCTGAATAGGCTCGGTCTCCAGCTACATGGGTGTCTTGATGCACCCACAGGACTGAGCCTAAGCCAAAGGAAGCTTGCTTCTCGGAAAATCTTTGAAGAAATGCCGCGAAGATAACCGAAGATAGTCGCAGACATAATCTAATCCCCGCTTAGTAATGCCTGCGAAGCAGTAGTGCTGATATTATTGTTCTAGGCCTCCAACGGATTCCACAAAATACCAGAAATGCATTTTGAATTCCCTTCAACCTGATTAGTAAATTGACAGTGGCTTTTTTAGCAGGCCAATCATGGCGCATACTCAAATCCTGGTACACAGGTGGGGGCCCAGAACAAAAATTTTGAATCATGCTGTTTCACAGATGGACTTAACCAGTAGTTTAGTTCCATCTGTGGTGTAGGCTACTGCAAAGATACTCTGTCACTGATGACCTCAAAAAAACACTTGGAATGCAAGATTCTTGTCATTTGAACAGTGGTCAACAGGGGTAGAAATAGTCGGCAATGTCATCCGTCTCTTCGAGACAGAGTGGGTGGTGAGGGGCAGAGACGTCTGAATTCCCAGAGTTATAATGTTGTCCTGTGTCGTCACAAATAATTAATTTATGAAATTATGCATAAATATCAAGTTGGCGGCCATGAGTGATCATGTGAGTGTTCTTGCAGTTCATGCTTTTTTTGCAGTTAAACTGGAACAAATCACATTTAGAACTAATGTGCTTGGCTGTTAGTGTTCCAAAACTGCAGTCTTGCTTATAACACAAAGTGCCACTTAACCAGTACATGTCATGTAGAGTCATAAAGACTGTTTAAGCTCAACCAAAAGTAAATACAAGCAGAGGAACTACAGGACACACCCTCACGTCCAAAGACTTGCTTATCCCACGAAAAATAAAATGGACTGTATCAGCACCCCAGTAAACAATGATTTCACTGACCCCATACTTGGTGTAGCTTCAGTTTAAGGTACAATTCCAATGTTAAGATCACTTAAGTGAGAAAATTACCAGCCTGCAAACAACACTATTCAGATTCAGGCATTTCGTAGAAATTACCAAAGGAACTAAAATCTTTATTAAAAGGTTCTTTAGCCGAAAATCAGTGGTAAACTGCATCTGTGATCAATTCCTGTCAGAAAACACTGACAGAAACATTCAACATCCGCCGCCTGTTGGAGGGTGGGGCGAAGAGATGGATGACATTTCTGACTGCATAACATAATATATAGATTTAGCCACGGCTAAAAGCGAAGCTCTCGTTAGTAAATCAAACAATAAACTTGTAATCCACAGATCAGGGCACATTCATTTGACTTTTGAGGCAAAGGCTAAGTGATTTTAGAGAAAAATAATTTGACAGTCCAAGAGTGAAACAAATTTTACATCGAATTATTAAATAGTCTTATTTGTACACCCAAAAATAGCAATCATGTTCGATCACAGTAGATTAGGCCTGGAAAACAAATAGACCTATTCATGTATTGTATTTGCATTAGCTGTTGCATCATAATGTGGCATTCACCTGTCTCTCCAACATTGCTCCGTTAGAGAGACTATGGATAATAGAAACACACGCGCCACGATAGTCCTTGGTGGCAGCCAATTTACACGTTGCATTCCTATACCTGCCAACTTTTTCTGAGATATAAGCGTGAGATTTTTATCCTGGGAGTGCTGGGATTTTTGAAAACGACTCGATCATTTCCGAAGATTCCTGAAGAAGTCCGAAGTCTTTCGAAGACGTCCGAAGTCTGCCGAAGTCTGCCAAAGGCGAGCTCGCTCCCAGTGCTTTTCACTTCAAAAATCAGAGATCGCGAGGAAGGTATTGCCATTTATTCATTTTACACATGGTTTTCGTTCCTTACATGGGTCTGAGTTAACATATTTTTGGAAATTGTTTCAAGCAGGACGGCAACAACTCACATTTTTCAATCAGGCGTGAGAAATTGGCCCGCAGGCGTGAGATCGAAGTTTTCAACCCGCAGGCGTGAGAGTTGGCAGGTATACATTCCTCTGTCTAAAAGAGAGGCAAAAATAAAAAGCAGGCCGGATTTTTTGTGTTCGGCAAGTTTAGGTTACTAGTAAATCTTGGCAACGAATCTGGTGGCGTGTAAACCAGCCTTTTAAACATACTTTTTCTCATCACGTCTCAGGTAAACAGTACTATGAGGCCCTTTTTTATCATACAGACCTTGGACAGAATTTGTTCTTTTTTGCCCTATTTAAACCTATAATTCTGCAGTTTTTCAAAAATTTGCGAGAGAATTTGCACTCATTCAATATCCCACGACGATCAAAGCACGCGCTTCCTTTGCACAACAAATTATAGCATTGAATTATAAAAGGTTTTCATGAAGAGAATTCTATAATGCCGGGACTTTTCAGTTAGAAAAATCTGGTCCTATAAGATATGCAGGGTAATAATTATGGGCTTTTAATGAAAACGATAAAAAAAATTCCCAAAATCACCTTTTCGGCCAGCCGGACGGGTTCTCACTTTTGACAGGCACCAAATTTGCAGTGCGATTAATAGAGTTACCATTTACGCTTCAACATGATAGAGAAATTGTTATGTTTAGGTTTTATTTCCGTTTATTTATTAAACTGTGTATGGTTTTGTTGTGTAATCTTTAAAAGCGAGTGATATTTACGCGCGGCGTTTTGAGTATTCCTGCATGCGATGTATATGTTCAACTGGAAACAACCGGTGCAGCGATAAAATTGCAAGAGGGACTACAACCAATCAATAAAATAAATATAATTTGGTGAAACATGTACAGAGACAATAATTTTCATTCACGAAGAGAAGTATTGAGAGTAAAGTGTCTCTGAAAATCATGAGTCAGGTAAGCATAAGCTTATTGCGGGCTTCCCGGTGTTTGCTCTTTTTCAAGATGAACTCGAGGCAAGAAAATCGCTCAGACCTTTCTGTTTACAGCCAAAATCATAACTAAATAATCTTCGGAACCTTTTCTTTGAATTTGCGGTCAAAAAATGTCTAAAGGCTTTTTAACTCCTGATACTATTGTAGGTTAGATCATTGCTCGTGTATAAACTTAAGCCGCATAAACCATACACTTGCCTTCAGGAAACCGAAAAAAAAACACACATCAGAGACAATAATTGCTCAGGCTTACCAGTCGAGATGCTGCTTCTGAAGGTCATCAAGTGTTCCAGAATCACTTGAGACTTTTCAACCCTCTTACACCTCAAGCAGGGCAAGTGAGTAAGCTCATTTTTGAAAATGACGCCATCCGAAATCGGATTTCCAATGACTTTGACAAGCGGTGCATTTGTCAACAAAAACAGGGCTGTCAACCCCTGACATCTTCAAATATTGAGAATTGACAAGGAAGGGATAATAGATGACGTAATAATGCACAAAACATGACGTCATTGGTGCAAAAAACATGCGAAAAAGATGTTGTTGAAATTGTAACACTTGTACCTGATTGGTTTACTTCTCACCGATCACATAATTGCTTATATTACAATGGCATACCGGATTTTCTGAGGAAATGTTCAATGTTAAAAGTTAAATAGCTCAAACAACGCAAAATATTTGAAAAAAACGTCCCAGAATCGCTTGAGACTTTTCAACCCTCTTATGCCTCAAGCAAAGGCAAGTGAGTAAGCTCGTTTTTGAAAACGATGCATCCGAAATCTTATGACTTTGACAAGCAGTGCATTTGTCAACAAAAAGCGCAATAAACAAACCAGCCATGAATTACAGAACAATCTTGATAGCAGCTGTATTTCATTTTGTACACCAAGTAGAAAAAGACAGTTTAAAACATCACAAGATGACACAACACTCTGTCAGCTCCAGCTATCAGTAAGCAAGTTACCAGACGCTGCATAAATTTTCTGCATGAACTCACCTGTCATTTTTTGACCAATCAGAACATAAAAATTGGACGTAGAGCGTGCTCAATGCGTGACAGTAAGAAATTGCCTTCCCTGCATGTAAATGTAAAAGACGGTTGAATTTTCGCGTCCGAGGTCAGTTCGAAATCAACATTTTAAAAGTGCGGCTCATGAACACGACTTATTTCATATGCATTTTAAAAAAAATTGAACTTGAGCCTGCGATCATTTGAAAAGTAGCAACTTGTCAGAGGAAACCTAAAAAAAAACACTCGAACTCAGTGGGTCGATACCTGAGCCCACGATATGGTCAGGCGATACTAGTCAGCAGAAACACTATTTTGACAGCTGTCAATTAATCAAAACATGGATGTACAATATCAGGTTGCAGGCTCCCAAACTAGCTAGAAAGTGTGAGATTAAACATTGGTATGCCTGTGGGGCGGACGGACAAAAGGTTGGGTGGTCGGTGTACGGTCACATGATTGCCGAATTTTCTAGGAAGGATAGATTTTCTAAGCTATGGGGCTTCGAATTGAGCCTGTGATCAAATAAAATATCAGCGCAAAACTTTAAACACTACGTGACCTCAATGGATAGAAAAATGAGCCCGCGATACACTCAGGTAATGGTGGTCAGCGTATACTCTAGTTTGACAGCTGTCAATTAACCTTCATTAGAATGGCGAATATTCGAATTAACAGACTACGAGTGTGAGTAAGACATATCCGTCCGGCATGTATTGGAAAATGCCAGATCGTGTGCCTGAGCGAACCTGAGCCCACGTTATTAGTTTTTTGATAGTGGTCTGCACATGTCCCATTTTGACAGCTGTCAACTGATTTTAATTTGGCTTGCCAATATAACGACTGTCCGCCAACTGAGAGCCTTGCCCAGCGTAGTTTCGTTTTTATGCTGAATTGGTAAGTGTGACATACTATATCAGCTTATATGTTGGGGCAAAACGACTGGTCTATCATCTGAGCCCGCGAGATGGTCATGTGATATTTGTCAGCGGATGTCTGATTTTGACAGCTGTCAATCTAATCGTACTCAAACGGATGGCTTACATAATTAAGAGGCTAGTCAAGTTGTGCAAGATCTATTGTGACATTTGACATCGGCTTACATGAGGTGTGTGTACGGGTGGGTGGGCGGGCGGGCATACTCTACATCATAACCAAATTTTCTCTGATGGATAGTTTACCAAATTTTCTTACCCATGGTGCTCCGCTGCGCGCGCACGAGAGCTCCGCTAATATTTACGGTGTTATTACTCTCGAATGGGCATGAAACAGATCAGCTTTATGACCTCTAAATGGCAAAATAAGATTTGTTCAGTCAACGTTTATGATACTCCATGCACTGCATAATATATGCACCAGAAAGAAAAGAGGAAAACCTCTGTTATTCAAGGCTAAGCTAAGGTCACATTTCACACTATCACGAGCTTCATATGAGTTGCGTTTGGCCTGTCAACACTTGACAGTACCACTCAAAAGTAAGTTGACAGTCTGTTGTGAGTCTCAATTCTTGCTTGATTCTCGATTCTTGATTTCTGTACAAATTGAGAATCGAGTTGAGGATCAAGTCTCATGAGACAGAAAACAAAAGTTTGACCCATGACTTCAGGATTTCTTGATAATTTCAAATAGACATAACACAACACCGCATGGTTTATTCGTGTGAGCGACTAGAATTGAAACAAGACCATAGTAAAGCAAATTTCTCTTCTTGTACGTATCAAGCTTCATGTCCTCAAATACAGTTTCAAGAGCCTCCTCCAAATGCAAACAAACGATTCTGGGCTTACCTGGCCACTGGGCCATGATAAAATACATGAATGTCTGTAACTTGACTAGCCTGTGGCTCTGAAATTGCATACGTGATCGTTGAAAACTTTCCAGAAACAATGGTCTTAATTCCACAAGGAAAAATGGTACTTTCTTTTAAGTTAAGTTCATCTTTTAGAATTCGGCTTTTTTTTCTATCAGACTCTTCTCATGCGGTAAAACATGATACGCATTAACTTTTTTGTTGCCTAGAACGTGACTGCCACAACCTTGATGAGAAATTGCGTGATACATGTTAAATCTTAAAAGCAGTTTGTATTGCACAAGACTACATCTATTGTTTTCAAAGCTCTTTGAGGTTTCTTTAAGTTTTCTTAAGCTTTACATGTATGTGCAAATAAATTATTGAAACTTTTAGGTAAGCAATAAGGTCTCATAAATTTAAAAAGCAGAGGATGAAATATCAAACTGAGGTCACGCTATCACAAAAAAGCAATTCAGGTCAAGATATAATTACAAATGAAACTTCCAGTGATAAATAGGCACCAATGAACAAAAAAATCAACTGCGATAATGCCCATGGACATGCATAATCAGGCAATCCAAAGAAATTGGCAAGTACAATTCAAAAGACAAGCCAAAGAACAAAACAATGAGAACATGCGAGAAGCAATAATTGGAGACTTTGGATGCTTTCCATTTTGCCAAACTAACCAATTAGAAACCAGTGGAATTATCAAGAGAAAATGGAATGACATTTTTCAGTTGAAACAAAGTTTGCAATCGAATCAAGCAATCCATTTACATTTCCACAAACATTTTGACTACTGCTTAGCAAAGAAGGGCTAGAAACGAGAATTTTTGAAAATGGAATGGCAAGTTTCGGTCGGACAAGACCGTCTGGTCAAAGAGGACCACAGTTGTTTACCATTTACCAAATTTATATTCCCGAAAATCCAGTCAGACATGGAAAGTAAACAGAACACAACTTTTTGGGTCATTCCACAGGAAGATTTCTAGGAGCAATGGAACATCTGAAAAGGTACAGTCCTGTTCTTCCGGACGGAATATTCCAAATGGAAATTCCTGTTCCATTTCTTCAAAGCCATCTTTGATACTGGTTCAGGCAATTTGCGGCCGTTTTTTGGTAAATGGAACTGATTTGTACAAATGGTAAATGTGATTCCGGGATGAAATTTACCAGTCCTGAATTCTGCGTACCATTTGTCTAAACAGTGGAGCGACCAGTTTGCCCATGTAAATAGTAAAAAACCCACCTCTGGAGGTGGACCACTTTGACTGGAAAATTTCTACCTGGGCCAGACAGTTGCATTTACATTTTGAACCGAAATTTTTTTGGGGTCGACCCAAAAAAAATTAGAAGGGTTTGTATGGAGTTTTCTGAGTATAACTGGGCTACGATCTCAGAGACAATTAGCCGCGAAATGCTCATTTTTTGGCAAGTAGGCCTCTTGGACATTGTTCTTTCAAAATATCCTAACAAATCCCATAATTTCAGAAATTTCATTTTTATGACGTCATCACTTTAGTACTCTATTCAAGCTTCCTTTAATTTTGCATTCCACGTTAGATAAACAGTCATGAATTGCTGTTTACGTTCAACTAGTGAAATGACAACTCCTGCTATTTTTATGATGCAAAATGCTGTTCGAACATTTTCAAGGTTTCAGCACAAAAGTATTACCCAGAGCCGTTCGAACAAAATATGCAGATTTCTGTCACTTCACTACTGTATCTTGAATTTGCATAGTTAATTGAGGCGTCTCTCGCAGGACTCAAAAGTTCACCAGAGTTTGTTACTTTATGCAGTGGAAAGTTTTTTCCGACATAAGAGAAGTAAGAAGATTATTCAAAACTTGCCCAATGGTTGTAGACTCTCGCCGCAATCAAGTGTCGAGAGCAGAGAGCGAATTTCTCAAACCTAAACAAAGTCCATTCCGGTTTGATGCGTCCTGCAGGAATCGAGTATTGAGACATAACAATCGAGAATACAGTCTCGATTCTCGATTCGATTCTCGCGAGGATCGAGAATTGAGTGTCAACTTTCTTTGAACGGTACTGCAGTACAAATGACTTGCCGTTTCAGACTAGGCCGCCGAATGCCAAACTACAGGGTCAGCAACTACAGGGTGCGGGTGCTCGACGGCCGATCGGCGTTCGGCGAAGGAAATGTACAGTTGCAGAACAGTGATCAAATTCATAGCAACGAAGAAAATCAAGTTACATGTATTAAAGCTTACTTTGAGTTCGTAACCGTTCGGTTATCCCGATAACAAAGAAAATCTAGATAAAGCTAAGTGTTTTCCGATGGGCTTCTGCTTACCTACCCTTACAACAGCTACCATGCAGCTACGTAGTTAAACAATTGTGTAAATTACAAGCATAAATTGTGTGCCTTCATTCATAACATCCATAAGATTTCCCTGTATATAGAATCATAGAGCATACAGTACTGCATCTGTGTTTACCTGTTTCTTTGACATTTGTATCTTTGTTAAAAATCAGCTGATCGAGGATCAAAATCATTAAAATCACGCAAACGCCAACCTGAAAATCTGAGAACTTCACCAAAGGTGACGCCAAGGAGGAATAGGAGTGCCTACTCAGGAGGGTCCCGGATGAGGAACTGCGGATGAACAGAGGGAACTCTGGGTAAAATTTTCACAGGGTCTGGGTTGCCTGTGATTTGAACAGCGATAATCCTCGCAGGCTCATCCGGCACCGCGCTGAATCTGAAATAAACATGGCCGGGAAACCGACGAAAGAAGGTGAGAAGATCATTGATTTTCGCCAACATTAGTGTATTTATTATTTCTGTTTGATACTGATTGTAATTCATTTTGTTTCACCTAACTTTCTTCCTTCTCGTGCTGTTTTCACGGTCAAAAACCAACAGCTTTAGTACAGTATGATCCGTCAAGCAAACACATTCTCGCGCGACTTGAATTACTGAAGCTTGAATCTTATAATTGATTCCAAACAGCTCATTATAATCGATCCATTAACCTTACTTTTGTAAGAAAAAAATGTTTAAAACATCAGTTTTGTTTTTTTTTGGCAAATCGAGGCGTAAAGTCGTCGTCAGACTTTTCAATTTTAGAAAGTGCTAAAATTTTAATTCAAGGTTAAGATTGCTTTTAAACGTGGCAGTAAATGTTTATTTATGCATCCCGGTTGTCAGGAGCAAACATACGGGCAATGTAAGAACGTTTGCGAGTGAAATTTATTTATTGTAGCTGCAAGGTTACATGTAAAGTTCGTTAAATATAAATTATTTGTGTTCACGGGGAAGATCATTGTTAATCTATTATTTGTGGTGGATTTACAGCAGTCTGGGGTTTAGACGTCGCATTTGCCGGGTTTAACCCGATGCAAGAACCTGTGAACTGTCTCTTTGTTTCGCACCTTTTGTTTTCCTAGGTTCTGTTGTGTTGACTTCGTTGTTTCCATTCTTTTATGTCAATCATGAGTTTTATAAGTTGTTGCACCATTTGAGCCCATTTGCCTGCTGGTTTTTTTGTTAATATTATTATTTTTAATTTTGAGCTTTATAGACTGTGAAGAAATTCCAGTGGCTAAATTTGGGTGTGCTACAATTTAATCCACTCTAAATTAAAGCCTCAAATGAATGGCAGTTATACCTAGTCTGTTTTGTCTGATGTCTTATGTGCTGGTGGCTTTTAAAAAAATCTTGTCTACAGCTGTACATGGATGGGGAACATAAAATTGCAGAGACAGAAAGATTTTATTTCTACAATTATGCCACTACATGAGAAATTTCTGCAATTTGATTGGCTTAGAGCAGTGGTATTTCAGCTTAATTTGAAATACCTCAAATAATAGCATGATTTGTACATGATATTTGGCATAAATACCACTCATGATATTTCAAAATTGTCTCAAATTTCACTCGCCAAACGGCTCGTGAAATTACGTATAACTATTTTGAAATATCACTCGTGGTATTTATGCCAAATATCACTACTAATCATCCTATTACCTATACTAATAACTTCATGTAAAAGGCTCATGACTTAAGAAGTGGTTTATATTAACTATTTTGAGAATGAAAATGTTTGCTCACCTCATCTAGAGGAGAATATTTTACCAGATTAATATTTTAATCACAGATCAACTTTCTTTGGGTCCCCACAAAGCACAGTGTCTACCTTGTCTTGAAATAATTTTCACACTTGAACATTTTTCATGGCTGGCACTATTTCACTCACACTTGAAATTGGGCTGTCTCTGAAATTTTATTTACTACATTCACAAAACCGTTTTGGAATATAGTTATTTGCAATGTGAGTCACTGTTTTTTTAGAGAGGTTAAGCATCACATTTACATGTGTAACGGCAAACATGAATTTGTGCCACGTGACCAAGTTTTTCCGTGACTTGTCATTTACTGTTCATTATTTTAACGCGTAAATAAGCAGTTTCAAGCAATCTTTTATCGATAACAATTGATTTGATCTGTTCATCTGCTCATTTTCTATTTTGATAAATTCTTAACTTGAATGTGACATTTGCCGTATACGTGATGCTTAAACTCTCTATAGATGGTTTTCACGGTGACTTCATCAAATTGTAAAGTCAAAATAGCGAGGTTTTACGAATTCTCACTTACACAAGGTTGAAGATAAACAAAAAATAAATCCTTGTACAAGTTTCCAGTCCCGTAGCGTGTTTCATTTCAAAACTACAGCAATTTGAACTTCCGAGTTTTCACAGTGCTTGACACAAATTAGGAATGCTATCTCGTTGAAAAAAAGCCTCTCCTCTTGGTTTTCAGCAGTTTAACCATTTTAAGTATTAAAAGATGTGTTTATGCACACATATGCTAGCTCTTGAGTAAAAAGAAAGAGCTTTTATAGAAAAAGTGAACTCCAGATGTTTTCATTGATTTCTGGTGGCCATATTTGTGTACCAAAACTGTACACAAATATGGCATCTTCATACAAAGCTCTACAAAGGTGCGTGAAAAGTTGTGTGAGAAGCTGTGGGCCCACAGACCTGAGACTTGCACAAATTGTTTATATATCAGTCTTTTGTAACATTTTTATTTTCATAGCTTCTTCCACTAGATGGTTTCCAATTTATTTTTTTGTAAAAAAAAAGCAAATAGTTTTGTAAATAGTTTTTAAATGTCTATTTTATATTCTATACAGGGGCGGATCCAGGATTTTTTTTAGGAGGGGGTGCACTCGTCTCTTGCTCTACTTCAACACCAATAAACCACATAGTTTTTTTTTTTGCAGAATACCAGTTGTATTAGAAAACCGCAGGGAAGGGGGGGGTGCGCACCCCCTGCACCCTCCCCTTAGATCCGCCCCTGCTATAATTATTGTACATAGCATACATCTGTTTTTATCTTTTTATGTAGGGAAACATCATAGGGTCAACCTCCAGTTTTCCTTTTCAAGATGTGTTATAATTTTTAGTTCATCATCTTGAATAAATACATTATGTTATGTTATGTTATGTTACATGTATGTTGTGCTGTGCCTATTGCGTGACAGTGAAAACCATCTATTGACTCAGATCCCTTTTTAAATTTTTTCCGTTTATTTCCCCCTTTAACCAAGAATACCTAAGTGTAGTTTTTAAAAATTAATGATAAACAATACAAATAACTGACCTTTTAGGGGAGATGCAATCACGGTGCGTGTCCCTCAAATAATAAACGAAATATAATTAATTTAAACAAACATAACAAGACAAAAATAATCATTACTCGCTAGGAACAAAACATCATTTGGCTAGGTACAAACATGTGCAGCGAGTTGAACTTGGGACTACCAAGATCAAATCCAGCTGCTGTTTGCTGTATGATCAGGCCTCTGGATTGCGAGTTTAGCCCATGACTAGAATGAATGATAGGATCTTGTAAGGTGTCACTAACTAACTAAAGTACGGGGGGTGGGGGAGTAGTATTTGTTTTGTTAAAATTTTATCAAAAAAAGAATTTGGACAATTTGTTGAATTTTGATGTTGGCCACTTGTCAAAGTAAAAGGAATATTAACCACTTTGCCACACTGTGATAAGTTTATAATAAACTGAATTATGGACTTCTCTTCACTCAAACTCAATGATCTTGAATTCTTCTATTTTCAGAGCACGGTTTTTGTAGCCTTAAGTATGTAAGTCTTGTTACCTTGACGGTACAGAATGCATCACTGATTTTGACAATCCGTTACTCCCGCACACTCCCTGGGGACTTGTATATTGCGACAACAGCTGTGGTTTTTGCAGAAATTTTTAAAGTATTGGCCTGTCTTGTAATTATACTGGTGGAAAAAGGCAATGTTCGTGACTGGCTACAGTTTTTATGTGCATCAATCATTGGACAACCATGGGACACTCTCAAACTGTCTGTTCCAGCATTGATTTACACCATACAGAATAACCTTCAGTATGTTGCAATTTCTAATCTGGATGCTGCTACATTTCAGGTACAGTAATTGTACTAATAAGTTAGTAGGATACAATGACAAGAACAACTTTATTTATAACCAGAGATCGTACAGACATATTTGCATGCAGTAGGTTTAAAAGTACGCAGGTTACAGCCAGGGTTGCAGGTCACAAGTGCAGTTTAGAAGACAGGTCACCATGGATAGCCCTGCGGAAAATTAACAACACAAGCCCTAATAAATGTCTGGGGCGTGTATTAGATAGGAGGCATTTAAAAGTATATATTCTCATAACTGTAACAAGCTCAACAAAAATAGTAATATGCTTTGGAATATTTCACTCAGTCAGTTGATATATATATATATATATATGTCTACATGTAGGCTGTCTAGAAATCCATATCCCTCTTTCAAATCCCATCCATGAACTTGACATTGAACAAGATGAAATATGCAAACAGAATTGTCACTAACATTTCAAGTTTCCGGGTAAATACAACAAGTACGTATAGGCGGAGAATCAAACAGCCAGAGGTTTCTTTTAGTTCTATTTTTCTTCTCTTTTTCTTTGAAAGTAGCTGGGGGTCACATCCATAGTAGACGGGGAAAATCTCCAGCCCCCGCCTCTTAATGATAGCCCTGTGCAAAGCCTTGTTAATCAAGCAAAATAATAACCTAATGAATTGGATGATCTTGCTCCTTTTTGTTAATTCCTAGTATTTGGAGTAATTCTCATAGGGGGAGTCTAATTCAATTTTTACAGCATAAAGGGGACATCTATTAGATAAGGGGCATTTATTTGGGAGGGGCAATCTACATGTATAAAGTCATTTGTGGTATCTCAGTTATTTATCAATACAGCACTGACCTGCACTTGTGACCTGTTACCTGTGTTTTATACCTGCCACACAGGAGCTTACATTTAGCTGCACATGTATGTATTCTCAGTATTTTGACCTGAAATGTCATGAACAGTATACATGTAAATGCCAGTTTGTTCCCAGTTGCATCTGGAGGATCAAATTATGATTTGATCCGTGCCAGATTACCATCCTTAAGGCCAAACACAGTGGATTATAGAGGGATCACTTGGCTTGTGACATCTTTTGGGTTAAAACCCTGTGTATGTACAAGAGAGGGCTGTTGGTACACCATGTACCTAGCAGCTTCATTGCTTCATTTTAGAATGTCACCTTGGAACAGTGATCATATAGTTACTTAAATTATCACTCAGATTGTACAGAAAATTTTCTAGAAATCTGAACTTGGAAGGTCTGTGGTTTGATTATGCTGGCTATGCCAAACACAGGTCACCAAATTCATTTGGCAACTGCAGCAGCAATTTTAGTCAACAAAAGTTTTTTTTTGCTTGTTTGTTTTGTTTTTTATTTGTTTTTGTTGTTGTTGTTGTTTTTTTTTTTTCTACTGAAACCTTTTTGTCAACAAGCATACAGTTTACTTTTTTATTGTCTACTCTGATCTTTATGCATGACTCAGGTCCAGGCTCAGTGATCATTTGGGTTGCCATGACAATTAGAGAACCTTTAAAAACAGTTAAACAAAATAATTTAAAACATTAATAATTATAAAATGAAAAAATGTACATGACTTCTTAATAATTTAATAATTGCCTCATTCCTTTGGAAGGTGACATACCAACTAAAGATTCTCACAACGGCGCTGTTCTCCGTGTTCATGCTCAACAAAACTCTCGTCAAGCTTCAATGGCTATCACTCTTCATGTTGTTTGTGGGTGTCTCCATTGTTCAACTGCAGCCAAAAGATGGACCATCCAATCATTCGGAAGATCAGACTAAGTCAATTCAGACTGCTGCTCCACCAGAAGTATCACAGAGTCCATTGCTGGGATTAGTTGCTGTTATTCTGTCCACTCTTTGTTCTGGATTTGCAGGTGTGTTTTAGCAGGCTTTTTTGTTCTAGTGCTCTGGTTGATCAATTATGTATTAACTACACAATCCATATTATTAAATTTGTCTGTGGGTTAATTAATGTTGGCAAAATCTAAAATGTAGTGCATTCATTCAAAGTGGTATGCATCAATTTCTATGCAGCTTCTTTTGTTTTATGTCATATTTTGCAAAGGTGTTCAGTCTTATTAAGTACTGAGAGAAAATTTAAAATTTTAGTTGTTCTAACAGATTATCCTCGTCAAGACTGAAAACTACTTATCCATTAATGAAAATTTTTTTTGAACAGAAAAAAAAACGTTACTGGGAGTAATAATATACACCCACCATGGAGTTTACAGAAGGCTGAATTTAATTCCCCTACTATCTTTTACAGTGTATTGTCTGGTGCTTTTAGCCCTTGGTTATGTTATAACATAAATGTCAATTGGCTCAGTGAGTACATTTAAGTTATGGTTACAATTGGGAAGATTGCCAGGGGAATAAGCTTGAGTCACACGTAGATATCACCTTTTATTATATGGAGGAGAGTGTTTTACTGGGAACTAAACCACTCGTAGATTCCATACGCCACTTCATCCGGGACCCGAGTGGCGTATTTTCCGTATGTCACCTTTGTGAGTGTCATATCGTTCAAGGACGTCACGATTCCCGCCTTTTGCTTTTGTTGAATTGGTTTCTCCATATAATAAAAAGAACATTACACGTTAGCTCGAAGATATGATTTTTATGTTCTCGTGGCAAGAACAATATCTCACTCGTTCGCTTCGCTCACTCGTGAGATATTGTTCTTGCCACTCGAACATAAAATTCATATCTTCTCGCCACCGTGTAATATCCTCTATGTATGACTCTTTAACATCTTTTATGCTTCACACCCTCCTGTGTGCTACCAATAACTCTACATCCTGAACCATTTACTTGCTTTGCTAATTTATTCAGTGGGCCTGGGTAGAGGCTGAAGTGAGAGCTTCACTAGCAAATATGTAGTATAACGTATGTTCATGCAAGACGTCTCGAAATAGGTCTTCTAGAAAATATAACTTGTGAATAATAATACAATTCTGAGATACAATAATTATTGTATTGCCCCCCCCCCTGCCCCCTCCATCCCAACATTTTACCCTAAGTGAAAGGAACTGCAAGAGTCTGCTTAAAAGGTGGACGGTTTAATAGATTCCCATAGTGGCCCTACTTTTCTCATCACACTCTCAGGGTTGTCATTAAGAGCCGGGGGCCGGGGATTTTCCCCGGCTACTAAGAGAGTATCGGAAAATAGAAGAAAAATAGAACCAAAAGAAATCCCTGGCCATTTGATTCCCCGCCTACTTGTTGTATTTACCCGGCAACTTGAAATCTTGGTGACAACCCTGCACTCTATCCAGCTCTCAGTGACTTTGTTATCCCTGAGTTCTGCATCCAAAAAAATCACCAAAGATACAAAATGATGAGTGGTACACATCCTGTAGAAATATGCAAAAATCAATTTAGTGACCAGAACATCATCTGGAAGAATATCCAGTTCACCTTTTCTGATTCACTAAAATCTCACACATAATTCATCATAACCAGCTATTGTCAACCAAATTTGGAAGAATTTGCGATATTGAATTGTTGACGTCAATTGTGCAGCAAAATTGGCAGTTATTGAACCGTTAACTGAGAAGACCTGGGGACGAGTTTGATTTGTTTTGGTAGTGAGTGCAAAATGGCAGAACATTTTACTCGTTTCACGGCAAACTATTGTCTAATAACAAGAACAGCAAGAAGACAACTCGACAGACGACATCTGCTAAATGTATTTGGAGTATTAGTTTGGAGACCTGAACAGCCCTTTATCTCTTAAAGTTCCCACTAAACATGCACTATTAAGATGAACTTGACATTGATGGAGGTAAGCATGTTTTAGCTTGTTTTTAAACTAGGAATTATTTTGAATGATTAATAGAACAATTATTGAATTTAGCTTTCATATCAACTGAAGAAGTATGGAGATGTCAGACGGTGTTATCCCGCAAGGCCGGACCTCCTCATCTCCATAATTCTTCAGATGATACTCGGCCTCATTCAATAATTGCTAATTGTTAAATTTGAGGATGCCCCTCTCATCTTGGAAATGGATGAGTGGTTCTCCCACTTTCTTCACGATTTGAATCTGCCACTGGTCGTGCATTCAAACTGCAAAGGGATTATTGCTTTTATACTACTACATGAAAAATTTCTGCAATTTGATTGGCTTAGAGCAGTGGTATTTCAGCTTAATTTGAAATACCTACATGTGAAAATTACAAACCTTCTAAGGGTACTAGTATAAACAATTAATAGCATGATTTCTACATGAGATTTGGCATAAATTTCACTCGCCTAACAGCTCTTGAAATTACGTATAACAATTTTGAAATATTACTCGTGGTATTTATGCCAAATATCACTACAAATCATGCTATTACCTATACTAATTACATTATATTGTTAGAAATGTAAAGCAAATTGAGAATTGAAGGTGCTCCCTATTTTTGTTTCTCTTTCCTTTTCTGTGTTTCATGTAAAAATTAATTTTCTAGCAGTACATTTGTACATCTCTAATACTGAGTGTATGATGTTGTTTTACTTTGTCAAAGGTGTATACTTTGAAAAGATCCTGAAAGGCTCACAGATGTCTGTATGGCTGAGAAACATTCAACTGGGCATCTATGGAACATTAATCGGCCTGATTGGCATGCAAATCAAAGACGGTGACAAAATTGCCGAGAAGGGAATGCTATTTGGATACACCAATGTTGTGTGGATTGTCATTTTCATGCAGGCATTTGGTGGTCTTCTGGTTGCAGTGGTAGTTAAGTATGCTGACAACATTCTTAAGGGCTTTGCAACATCCTTCTCAATTATCGTATCTTGTGTAATTTCAGTGTATCTGTTTCACTTCCAGCTGAGTGGTCAGTTTTTGTTGGGTGCTGGTTTAGTTATTGCAGCCATATTTTTGTATGGGCGACCACAAAATCAAGTTAGTCAAGCTGTTAACAAACCTTCCTCCGGTGAAAAAGTCTAGCTGATTAATTATTTTTCATTTAATATTCTATTAGTTCATGGGATACAATAGGCCATGTCTAAGTTCCCCAAGCCTCTATTTCAAAGTGAGGCTAAGTGTAAAGCCATCAGTGCATTTGCACAGAAAGGATGTGGACTTTCACTGTGCCCTCATTTTCAAGTTGCGAGTTTTTGGGACTCAGAAATGGGCTATTAATTTCTTCACACTACATTGTACAGGTGTATGGTTTTGAAAAATCCAATGTTTAATCTCTTCTGACCTGAAATGCACTGTGATTGGGGCCTGTCAAGACTTGCACTGTAAGATGACTAAGATGCACCAGTCATGCAGGACAAGGAAATCTTTCTTTGTAAGCATATGTTGTTGTTCAATTTTATCCTTGGTTTAATTTTTATTTTCCTTTGTTCTAGACTCATTATCATACATTTCTATACCCCAAAACAAAGGAAAATAAAAAATTAATTAAACCAAGAATAAAATTGAACCACAACACATGCATGCTCAAATTTGAACTAGCCAATCAATTTGCAATCCGGAAATTTTTAGTTGTGCGTACTTTGATCTCCCTAATAAGTTAACTTTAATTAAGTTTGAAAGAACACAAATTCCTTTTTGTAGGGAAGTGTCACTGCCGTCGTCGTTGTCGTCGTTGCTTAAGGTCCCTAATATTAATTTTAACAAATGGATTCCACGTTCCAATGTGTTGTTGGCCCAGTCATAGACTGGAGATGACAAAAAAGTGCACAAAAGCCACAAGCAAGTGTCCAATGGATTTTCTTTCATGTACAAAGCTTCGGTGGCATCCGTATGTCTGTACTCTAAGAGATCATTGGTAACGACCAATCACAGTGCACGTACTACTCATGTTGTATGAAGTAGCTTTTTTTAATTCATCTAGCCATGCACTTGACTGTGAGTTCGAATAATATTGTGGTAACTTTTTAAATGCACTGTCAATAATATTATCAATGTGTTTATCAATGTTATTAAGAGTGTTAATATTAATGAATATTTATCATTTAGGGGGAGAAACAAAAAGTCATTAGTATTTAACTTGGGCTACAGTATGTTTACACTTTACCGGGTAGATTTTGTGCCGGCAACTAAACCATACAGGATAGGGCCTCTGCCGCTGACACATAAGAACGGTAATTTAGGCGCGATTCTGTAACGGAGCGAAATCGCCGCGTGCCGATCTCTAAAGTGGAGAATCACATATCAGATAGGTGTCCGTACTATAACGGATGACTTTTTGTTTTTGCTCGAAAAGTTATCCCGTAAAGTGTGAACATAACAGTACACTTCTTAACCCTTTAAGCCCCAATATCCACATACAAATTCTCCAAACTGATCTCTATACATTTCCTCAAAGAATGAGTTGAGAGAATTTGATAAAAGATCGAAGTATTTTCTCTTAGGTGATCATTTAATTAATTCTCATAACCTCATCTCATGATAATGTATGGACATCGTTAGGAGAAAATTGCTGTTGGTCACTATTGGGACTTAAAGGGTTAAATGTTCATGGGACGTTCTATTTCCGCCGCTTTCTCCGTTTCAGGAGTGCTGTCTTTTTGCTGAACGGCGGCTAGTATAGCCTGAGAAAACAGCCAACATTTGGCGACGCTACCTCTGGTTTCCCCTCCAAATGACGTCCGAGAAACGAGCGCAGAAATTCCATACTGATGACGCGTCACTACCCAGATCTGGGAAGTGCTTCTGATTGGTTGAATCAAATTTCCCACACGGCACGACCAATCAGAAGCACTACCCAGGTTTGGATAGTGACGCGTCATCAGTATGGAATTTCTGCACTCGTTTCTCAGACATCATTTGGCGGGGAAACCAGTGGTCGCGTCGCCAAATGTCGGCTGTTTTCTCAAGCTACGGCTTAAGGACTAACCGAGCCTAGTTTTTCATAGAGTGAAAAGATAGACTCAACTCTTGTCATCACTCATGGACAAAGACGGGCATAGAATGATAGTTTCATTTCGCTCTTAAAGTACTCCTTAATAAAAACAGGAATATTCTCTTAATTTTCTCGTAGGTTCAAATTGGCCGTTTTACGGGCGGGTCCATGAGAATGGTTCAATTTTCTGTCGAACTCAGTGCGTTCTGGACTCCACTGCGATCAAACGAGAGACGTTTGTAAAAGCTTTTAAAGCAAATAACCTCAAAGCTAAGGTTGCTACTTTCACTATTGGAAGTAGTTACGATATTACCAATACGCTGTTAATTTGCTTTCTTTTTTTGTAATTTACGGATGAAATTGTTTCAAATTTGTATAAATCTGAAACAGCTGTTATCTTCGCGTCGACGCCATTTGTCGGCATAATTTTACTGGGGCCCGAAAAAAGGTTTAAAATTTTGACAAAAATGAGATTCAAGAAAGTTCGCTTAAGTAATTATTTCTCACATTCTTGCCTGTTTCCAGTAATGATGAATGAAATTTCGGAAACTAGAACAAGAAAAGGCCTTAGAAGTTTTACCGCGGTGGCACTGTGGACTCCTTTGGGGAGACGAATTTTGTAGCCTGCGAAAACATCCGTTTCTCCTCGCTGTTCGCAAATGGGGACGTTTTTGCGCGGAGGAACGTCTGCGACTCAGCGACAGAAATTCCATACTGATGACGTAAAATCTGTCCGGAATCCGGTCAGAAGCGCTGATTGGTCGACGGAGTAGTTACATTGTGTAAGCTATTGTTTACGAATGACAGACAAAAGACAAAAGGCCACAAAGGTCAAATGTAAACGCGAAGAATCTCTAACAAAACGGTCAATAAGAAGCATTGAGTTTTGCTGGAGCTCGTTGGCAGATGAACACACCAATTTACCAAAATCAACCAGAAGACACGTAAAATTGGACAAATTTGTATTTGGAGCCCCATGACTACTGGATTTATTATGTAAACATTGGTTTGCGTCATCAGTATGGAATTACTGCCGCTGAGTCGCAGACGTTCCTCCTCGAGAAACGTCCCCGGCGGCGAAGAGCGAAGAGAAACGGATGTTTTCGCAGGCTACGAATTCTGATTCAGTTTCCTTTGAAACCACGCAATAGCCAATAGGAACCTTTTAAAAGCAGCGACGGCGAGGACATCAACGAGAACAGCAAAAACGCAGTAGGTTGAGATAAGCAAAACAACACCTTTGCACGTGTTTCACGCGTTTTTTTTTTCTTTGCTGTCGTAGCTCGACCACGACGAGAAACTGCCTACATTGTAATTTCGCGTTTTCTGGAGGACATGAACATAAGACAACGATTATCTAAATTCTTTTTTAAGCTTAGGGCCTGATTACATGGAGGTGGGGGACCCCAGGTAGGTGAGGTAACCCGCTTAGGTGGGGTAACCCGCCTGTCCATATAATCTCTCATTTTAATATGATCACGTTTACATGATAGGTGGGGTGACCCACCACATGTTACCTCACCTATCTGGGGTCCACCACCTCCATGTAAAGAGGCCTTTAGTTACAGTCCTTTAGAATTCAACTCAAGAAAAATCCAACAACATATGACAAATTGAACGCCTTGGAATAAGAGCGATGAATTTTGAAACAGCGTGAATTCACTTTTTAAGTGACGTTTTAGCCACCCTCGTCGTTGCTTTAGGTCCCTAATAAAGTAATTGGTGGCGTCTCCAAACCAGTCCCATGGTGCGATCGATCACAGCAACGAGTCCTTTGAATCTGAAAATGGCCAGTACTTTTTGAAGGTACTCTATATAGAGTGTCATCCCTGGAGTCATCCTGGGAAACCCATGGGCAGTCAGTCAGGTCGGAGAAAGTTCCGAAAGCTTTTGTGGCACCTTTTCTCCCGACCTAACTGACTGCTCATGGGTTTCCCAGGATGCCCTGGAGTTCGAGGTGTCTGCGACTGAAATACAAGTTCGTTTTGCAGAAAACGTTCCAACAGATGTGGTACTGTCGTTTGGTGGTATTGGCTTTGTAAACCTATTATTAAGCAAACAAGAACTTTTTTAAACGGTTAAATGAAATTCACGGTATCAAGTTAGTGTCATATTCTTGATATTCAGTGGTTTTGTTTAAAACAGCTGTTACCTATCCTTCAAGTCTCTAATCTTCAGTCCCCAGTCGTCTCTTCTCATTCGTACGCGGTCGCGGAGGACTAGGACGGCACGTTGACGAAAGCAAAAGAAAAAAATTAAGAAAGGGAGGAAAGGAGAGCCTCTCTTTCCTTGTTCCCATCTTCGCCCGCGCGCATCTCCTGCGTGCTTCTGTCGTTAGCAACGACGGCAGCGAAAACGTCACTTTTAAGCTTTCGGGTTTTTCAAGATCATTTCAACACGCTAACTAAGTGCGTGCTTTGTCCAATACTCAGCAGCTCTTTTGGCTGTTACTTTAGCAGTTGGGCTGCAATTTTCATTGTGCATGGACGGCAGGTTAAAAACCAAAGATGTACGGACGGAACATTGGGACAAACCAAAAAAAACTGCCTTTGTGGAGAGGTGGTCGCTATTAGAGGTTGGAGTGTATTAGCTCCTGACGATAAATTAAGTTCTTGAAAGGCGGAAAAAAAGAATATAAAACGAAAGGCAAGGGTAACAAACAGATTCGCGTATTTCAAACTTTAAGTACCGGTCGCAGCTAGAGGTATTTTTAGAGAACTTTTGAGTGAGACACGCGTGATTGCAGTTAATTTGTCTTCATGCAGTGACGCGACCCTTCGCATTGCTGTGTAGAGCGTGAGGTTGTACGAAAACCAAGGTGCATACTTCTTCCTTTGCTATGTGGAGAGTTAACGGGCCCCTTCCATTCAACCGAAAATTCTAGAAATTTCGGTCATTGGGACATCACATAGAGCGTACCATTCCGACCGGAATATTCGGGACCAGCTTTGAAGGTGGTCCACTTTGACCTGTTCGGTTATCCTGAAATGTCCCTTTCCATTTGACAAAATTGTTGCCCCCAGAACCGCTCTTTTGTATCCTGCTCACAAGAACAATAACCAAACGCGCGGTGGCTTGGGTCGGGTCTGTGTAACCAGAATGTATAGTTCCACTGGACACGTAAAACGAGTCGAAATTTCAGGCCGGAATATATTTTTGGTGAATGGAAAGCGCCCAACGTTTTCTAGGGGATGGGGCCCCGGGGAGTGGGCACTCAATGGAAGTTTTGGTAGAGGTGTGCTGCCAACTCGCCTTCAAACGCTGAACCTGTTTCAGAAACCAAAAACAACCTCATTTCGCTATCCTGCCTAAGACAAGAGAACTTATTTTAAGACCCTGACTCGTCTAGTTTTGCATACAGAATAAGTATTTATAAAAAAAAAAAACTAACAAAATCACTAACCGTAAAACTCAGTTGCAAATGCTTGCGGTACAAAAACACAACTCTAAGACGCTGAAACTAAAGAAGTTGCACTGACAATTGAAAATTAACTCTACCACGTCTGGTGGCATATAATCGTTTAGGCCGAAGAAATGAATGCTTACTCCCTCCCACCCCCAGGTACTTTCATTCGTAAAGTTTTGTAAAGATCAAGGGTACGCGATTAAGCACTCTCGTCCCTCTCAAATAGGCTCTGTCAGGATGATACTCAAGGTCATTTTAACAAGCACTGAAGATGACGTACTGTTTTGCGCCTCGCTTTCAGGATAGTTTCAAAACAAATCATGAATGACATTGTCTCACATGATTAATTTATTCTTCCCGAAAGGCGGAAGTGAGCTATGTCGTCTACTCTCTCGAGCGAGATCAGAAATCAAGGCAATGATTTTTTTCGTCGAGCAGGTCGTGCTCTGGCGAGCTCCTCACTTCGAGAAGCAAAGGATCTTTTCGAACAAGCGCTGACTTGCTACTACCGTGCGAAAGACAAAGCGGTAGGTGATCGAGACGACGAGTGTTCTGCGGCGAAGAACATCGGTAAGGCAGCTTGGAAGATAGCTGGAGTACTCAGCAAGCAAGAAGAGAAGCCGAAAACGATTATCTTTTATCTGCATGAAGCGATTAAAGGATTATGCATTGCTTACAATCACAGCGAGGCTTGTAAAGACGCTGAGTGGAGAGAAGAAGTCTTTGAAACGCTCAATGTTTGTTTACAAGAAGTCCTGAATGAAGCCGACGCTGTGGGTGATGTCGATCAAAGGATCGCGCAGCTGGAGAAACTATGTTCTATAAACACGGTGATCGAAGCTGCCCCCGACATTCAAATCAATCTGGCTACGCTTTACTTTCATGACGGTACCACTAAACTACAGAATGGTGACTACAAGAAATGTCTGATACGCATGAAGGATTGCTACCGACCCATTGAAGAAGTCAAGCGCCTGTGTCGTTACGCGGGCGTCACGCGTGCTACACACGAGATGTTGACGGAAGCGCGGACGCTAGAGCAAGATGTATTTTACCATACCTGTTCGGCCTCGTCGATTCAAGCGCGCGTGCAAGGAGACCAGCTTCTACAAGTGGCTCTGCAAGAACAAGAAGACCTCGACATGAATTTAGTTTTTGAAGTTATTGACTGGTACAAACAAGCTGTTGTCCTCTCGAGAGAAGTTGACATAGAGCAGGAAGCCATTGCTGAAAGTCGCCTTGGTGTGGTGTATGACAAGGTACTGAAGTTAACGCTTCGAGCAAAGGCGTACTTCACCCATAGCTTCGAGCTAGCCGAGTCCCTGAAGCCTCGAGTCTTCACCTCGCAGACGTGGTTCAAAGATTGCACTAGTGCGCTGAAGAGATACCAAGATGAAGCTCGGGCAAGAGATGAGCAAGAAAAACAAAAACAGCGAGCCAAGTTTATGGAAGAACTACGCGAGGAACTGGAAGATATACGAGCTTATAAATCAAGGGCGATTCCTCTAATTAAGCACTTGTACCTCAACTATCCTCCCAAAACGTTAACATGGAAAAAACCAAGTGACGAAGAGATGAAAAAGTGGGAATCGGTGGAAAAAAAGTCAAAAGAGTACAAGAAGCTTCTGGTGAAAGCTCTGAGTGTTTATCACCCCGATAAAGTGGATGAAAACCAGCATGGAAAGAAGTGGAAAGTCTTGTGTGAAGAGATCACAAAAATGCTGACTTTTCACTATGAAGGCACCAAGAACATCAACGACAGTCAGTAAACGCCTTTTTTTCTTTTTGTTAAGGGGAAGTTAGTTATAATTATTTTTAATACTATTGGTAATGTTATGTGTAGAACATAAAACTTGACTAACCTAGTTCGGGGCTTTTTCTACCCTGAGGCATACTGCAAAACTTCTGTTTACAAAATGTAATGAGACGAAAAAATACAAAGAGGAATTAAAGGGGCGAAAAACGCGACGGGAAAAGTTTTAGTTCCCTGTTTTTTCTTTTTCTTTAACCCCCTTAAATTTCAACCAATCTCCCCATCCAGGATCCCTCTCCTTTTACGGGAAAGGCATTTTAAAAGCCTTAGAATTTGATTCATTATCCATGGAAAAAAAAATATGAAAATTCAAAATTAACCTGGTCAAACAAACCTGTGAATTGACTCGTGGCAGGACATAACGCAAACCTCCAACCCTTAAACCGTGCGAGTAATCCATGCGTGAGGTACAAAATCATCCAGTTGAAAATCTTGTGCATAAACCATTATATTTACAATTAAATTTTACCGTGCTGGTGAAGTACCGTTTTAAAATTGATTGTGTCCAGATAAGTTGGATATCGAGTCTAAACTGAACAGTGGACAATTGCATCGCCTCAAACGCGGTATTTCAGTTTTTAAACATCCCAGAAAAGGACTTTTGGGTTTCCCTAACTATGCACTAAATGTGCAATCCGATTCCCTGCGGGCCAAAGTGTTTGCTTAACCTGTATGTAAATTATTTCTTCTCATCTCTTGCATTTGCTCGACTGTAATATTATTCACATCTCACTTGACTCACCGATAAACAGGCAATTGAAGATGAACTTAAGGTAAGTATGCTTCAGCTTGTTTTTAAGCTACGCATTATTTTGAATGAATAATAAAACAGTTATTGAATTTGGCTTTCGTATCATCTGAAGAATTATGGAGATCTCGAAGGGTGATATCCGCCTTTAGCTTGATCTCCCTAATTCTTCAGATGAAACTCAGCCTCATCCATTAACTGTCAAATATACTAAGCAAACCTAGAGTCGCAAATTCCACTTAGAGCTGCTATATATAGCAGCACGACAACCGTAAAATGTTCCAATCCGCGCCCGGGGCGGTAAGTTAAAGGGACTGGTTCACGATAATGCGCATGCGCGCCGTTTGTCTCTTCAGAATAAATTTGTTGGGTCAACACTAAATTCGAAATCGCCATTACCGGTACAATCATTGAAAATCCTTCGTTTTATTCGGACATCCGCCGCTTTGGCTGGTCTAGTTATACTTCGGTAGTGGTGATTAACGTGTGGTTGTGTCGTTTGACTGGTTACGTTTTAAGAAGACGCAAAAAATAATGTTTTGATCATGGAGGTTCAGAAGAGCATCGTGGCCGTCTGGCAACAGGACGTTCTCAATAGTCTTTGAAGATAGAGAAGCTTAGCCTATCGATTTGGTATGGTTCTAGGAGTAGTGTGTGGCTTACGAAAAGTATACACGACACTTGGAAAGTGGTTAAAGGCATGAGTTCGTTCAACTTTGATTTGATTTTTGACTCCGACCTGTAGTTATACCGCAACGGGTCGCGCGATCTTCACCGATCTGGTACACTTGAAATTTTCCTTGTATCTTTGCTTTACGATCGTATATGTTTAAGAATTGATGTTTTTAAATAAATTATTGCCTGAGTATTCTGTTTATAATCTAGTTTCTTTATTTGTGCTACTCGATAACATTTGTTTTGCGGAACACTGACCTGATGCAACGCGAATGAATTTGTTCATTTGCTGATAAGCATTTGAAATTTATGCTCAATTAAGGATAATCTTTATACTCATACGTTGTACGCTTTTGTCACCGGTCAGGAGCTATTTGTAGGTATTTCTGGATTTATATAAGGCGAACTGAGAGAACAGTAATAAGATGTTTGTTTACAAATTTTGTTTGCCGATCGGTGACTGCTTTGTTAGCGTGGGTACGACCTCGTAAAAATACACGTTGGTAAATGTTTGTTTCAAAGCAGGACAGGGCTGTAAATCTTATTCTAATCGGCTGCAACATATATCTGAGGAGTAGCAAAGAATAAACTTGAATTATGGGGATAAATAAAATCAAACCAAATGCCCGGAAATACTCTCGCGTCGCGAACAATTAATTTGAATTTTGTAAATTTACTTGCATGCATCTAACTCGCTTCCGATTGGTTGAAAAACAATCAGCTACTGTCAGAACTCACACATGCGCATTATCGTGAACCAGTCCCTTTAAGAGGTTGGCTTTTATTCGAGTTTAGACGCGAACTCCTTCTATGCTATAAAATCATTTGTAATTTGTAAATCGAATTTCTTTACCCATGGAGCACTTAGGAGTGGGTGTTACGAAAACTAAGACCCTCGAAAACTAAGACCTAAGACCTAAGACCCGTCTTAGTTTTCGAGATTACGAAAACTAAGACCCCCTAAAATCGAATCCGTCGAAATATAAAGTCAAATTGTAACCGAAATGGGTCTGATCTGTCAAATTATATCATATGTTCGATCCTTTCCACCGAGTTTTAGGTCAAATTTAACGGTAAATTTAGGGGTCTTAGTTTTCGTAATTTCGAAAACTAAGGCCTTTCTTAGGTTTTAAAACTAAGACCCCCACCAAAACAATCTCTAAAATTTCTACAAAGTCGAATTACGACGGTTTGAAGACTATAATCCGTAAGACAAACAAAAACTACTATCATCCGCGTGCTAGACGATCCGCTTCTTCTAACAAGTTGCAGACACATGACATTATCAATATTGCGGCTTTCAGAAGAGGATGAAAGCTATAGACCACCTACGTATAATTGTACACTGAAAATATGCCTTACCCCTATAATTTTGGTTGTTTATCCTTAAAGTCATAAAATTGGTTTTCCACTGGAGATGGATTTTTGTCTTCGTTGCGGGCTGACATGTCGCTGCGACCTGAATGCCTGGGGCCGGTTGCTCGAAGCCTGGTTCGCGCTAACCGTTGGTTAAGAGGTATCAAACTGTATAGGTTTCCATGCCGTATTTAACGCTGGTTAGCACTAACCATGCTTCGAGCAACCCGGGCCTGATCGCTAAGTGGTCAACGGCGTTATCGGTTAAACATCACACAAAAATACGGATTTTTTTTTCCCTTTTCTGGCCAGGTCATAGATAGAAAAATACTTTTATAAAAAGGGTGAAAAAAGGAGAATATGCTACATTGCGTTTTTTCTAGCTTTTGTTTTTATCGTTGCCACCCCGGAGATCACCGGGTTACAATGCAAAGGTAGTTGAGGGGTAGGGGTGGGGGGCAAGGAGAAAGAGTCTGTGGGGGATAATCGCTAAAATCACTCATGAAATAATAATAATAAAAAAACGAATGAGTGAATGAATTTCCTGTACCAGCAAAGCATCGTCTCGAGAATCAGAACAATAAAATAAACAAACAATCAATACAAAGTGAAGATTGCGTGACAGTAGGTTGCCAAAGGTCAGGATTCCCGGAAAAACATCCATCTCCAGTGGAAAGCCAATTTCATGATTTAAAGGATAAACAACAAAATTAAAGACCAATAGGGGTAAGGCATATTTTCAGTGTACAATAGATAGGTAGGAAGTCTATGGCTTTGGTCCTCTTTTTAAAGCGAGTCTTCAAGTTGTTAGCGGATCGTAGATCAGCACGCGTATGATAGTAGTTTTTGTTTGCCAGGATTATAGGCTTCAAACGGTCGTAATTCGACTTTGTAGAAATTTTAGAGATTGTTTTGGTGGGGGTCTTAATTTTCGTAATTACGAAAACTAAGAGGGGTCTTAGTTTTCGAAATTACGAAAACTATTAGACCCCTAAATTTACCGTTAAATTTGACCTAAAACTCGGTGGAAAGGATCGAACATGATATAATTTGACAGATCAGACCTATTTCGGTTACAATTTGACTTTATATTTCGACGGATTCGATTTTAGGGGGTCTTAGTTTTCGTAATCTCGAAAACTAAGACGGGTCTTAGGTCTTAGGTCTTAGTTTTCGAGGGTCTTAGTTTTCGTAACACCCCCTAAGGAGTTCTAGAACCTCTTTTAAATGTGTCCATGCGTCCCAGTTTGAATTGGAATTTGGAAGTGTTGGTTTTTTAACTGAACTGGTTTCATAGCACAGAATCAGAGTTTAGTTATCGTCTGCACGCAGGCTAAGAAGGAGTGTTTTGTATCGCCTTTTTTGGGGGGGGGATGGTGGGGGGTTTGGAGGTGGGAATCAGAGTTTTCTTTGTACGTTGTCTTGTGTCTGTCTTTCGACACCAATTTTTAAACTCTTTCGACAGCAGAGTCCATTGAAATCAAACTTTAAATTGTGACAGATATAATCAGTTTGAATGACATAACTCATCTAGTCCCTTTAAGCGGACAGGAGAATTGTCTCGTGACCTGGTTTCCTTTCCTTGATTTCCAGTTCATTACATTTGGCGAATGATTGAAATCTTCTCGCAAAGGGTAAGCGCTCAATTGATTAGCTTTTCAAATTTAGAGGATTTAAAACAAAATTATAGCTCCTGTGACTTGGCCTCGCGTTGAGGGACTATCAGCTTACAGTAAGTAATTCTGGAATGATTTGATATCAGCGGGGCGAATATATTTAATCCTCTACAACTTCTAAAGGCTGCATAAACCTCATTACAATTCCGATACTATCTCCATTGTTTAAAAGTATCTTCTGTGAGTAACAATTAAAATGCCATCCACTAATTTTAGCGAACTCCCGGCTTCCTTCGCTTTTATAGCATGCTGGGTTTAAAACTGAGCCTTGTATTGTCTGCCCTCATGTGCTTGGCTGATAGATTATACCCAGCTGATCAGCGTTAACGTTACTGTTACTGGTGTAAGGCCGGGCAAAGGCTTAATTGCTCTCTTAAATCGGACTAACGTACATGAATTATAAAACAACCTGCAAGCGAAATCGAAAGTTTATTATGTCTGTTATGTTTATGTCTATGACGGTGAGAGACAGAGGTGGGGACATTTATCTGACCAATGCTC